AGACAGACAGACAGACAGACAGACAGACAGACAGACAGACAGACAGACTGACTGACTACATTATAAAAATGTGTTACTGCTGCATTTGTAAATCTTTGAAGAGTTCTGCAATCCAATATGGCTCACTAACCCCAAACTCCAACATATGGGATAACAGTATTTTTTTAGAGCAGAACCTAACCATTGATAACCTTGAGCAGAACAACAGAGAGCCAGCTTGTGGGAAGAAGGGATTGTAATACAATGTATGTTGAAGGTGCCACACTTGGGATATCTGTGTTGGACTTTTAAGTATTAATTGGGAAGTGGTTTTTATACACAGCAATGACATCATGCCCAGTGATAATCTTACCTTCCTTTCTAATAATTTCTTGCACGTATTTAGGCTTGTTACCAAGGTCACCATGGAGACTAGGAACATGGGAGAGGAGTTAAGAGAGATTGTAGTTTCTTTCCTCAGTGGGAAGAGAAGGAAGGACAGGCTACACTAAAAATATGAGATGACAGGATCTGAAACAGGAATTACCAGGAGTGTGCATAATTACCAGGAGAACACATAATTAAAGGGGGTGGTATAGCAACAGTGTCATTTTAGGAATGAGAAAATTAAGTATAGCAGCACAAAATAGAAGGGGACTGCAGAAGGAATATTAAATGCAAAGGCAATTCAAAATGCAAATTTCAATTTAGCACAGTCTAGCAGAAGCACCCTTTACCTCTAGTTCATTTCAGTGGGAGAATTGAGCGTGTTTAACCCTTTCCCTGAAATCAGAATAACTTAGCAGTACTTGACTGTACTACAATCCTGTAGATGTCTATTCAAATGTAGCATCCACCCAATTTAATGAGATTGAATTTCAGATGTGCAATATAATTTAAATTGGATTTGTAGTTGTTGTATTTAATTGTCAATTGTTTTAGTTTTCTGCTATAGTTTTAATGTATCTCATATCATGTGCATATCAAATTTTGATCTGTTTTTTGGGGGGGATAGATATAATGCTATATTTTACAATAAAGGGTGAGGGTTTTTTTACAACTCCTTAATAACTTAACCAGAATTTTAAAATGGTTTAAAAATATCACATTGTATTAGAAGGAAAAGTAATAAAGTTACAGAATAGTTTTGCTGTCTAACCTAATTTTTTAACATCAAACTTCTAACCAGCTAAGTATCTAGAGAAGCAATCAAGTGAACTAAAACTGTTCTCCAGTCTTTGGGAATTATGCTCCCAAATTCCTTAGTATGAGAATTGATCCTATACATTATCCTGCATGCTGCATTGAGAGCCCAGGATGGGTTGACTCCTTCCTATGATGTCATAGCTGAGTCTGTACTAAGATATAAAAGCCAGCCCGCAGGAGAGACCCCAGCTTTTGACTCAGCTCCTTTCAGTCAGTAGCTGTGTCTCTGAAAGCGTTCTGTTAGATAGCAATCACCAGCAATCTTCAGTGCTTTTTTCCTCTCTTCAAGCAGCTCCCAGGGATCTGGGCAGCTGCTCTTTCAGGAGAGCCCTGCAACGTTGGGAGCAGTGTCACAGAGCTCTGTGCAGGCTAGCTGGGCAGCGTCTGTAGACCTCCCCCACACCTGCAGTTTGGAGCGATCATAAACACGATCGGCAAACTGATAAGAGCTCCAGCCAGCTGATTGTGTAGCTGGTTGCTGTGTTTTTCCCTTGCTGACTTCGCTCGGGGCTCTGTATAGCCTAAGGAGCGATTCTTCAATCTTGGAGTCTGTTTTCCTGTAGTCAGTGGCCATCTTGGATTCAAGCCTTCCACCACGAGGTGAGCGGCCATTTTGTAAGCCCGGGGGCCATTTATACCCTAAGGGGCTTAATAGAAAAATTTCTAAACAGCTTCTTTCCAACACAAGAGCCTTTATTTTACAAATGGAGCAAGATAAGTCTCAGACAGAGCTCCCCTTCCCCCAGTGGAACAGTCTCTTAAGCCCAATAGGAGAAAAAGACATAGGCAACGCATCCAATCAGTCCAGAGGGAGGTGGCTGCTAAAATCAAAGCTAAGGCTCTAGCCCCTAAGAAGGCAACTCAGGCTGAATTGAGGGCAGACAAGCGCAGGCATGCAGCTCTAGAGAGGCAGTTCAACAGAACTATTCAACAGAAGGGAGTGCAACTACAGCATGTTTCAGGTGATACTCATGGGCCCCAACCAAGCCCTCCCAGGGGAGGAGAGGTTATCTATGAGCCTTTCCATCCTCCATCCTGGTCTCCTGAGGCTCTTGCTGTACAGTCAGATCCTCAGGATTTAAGCAGATCTGGGCCTTATTTCCAATAGGCTTCTGTGCCCTATGCTCTTCCCCCTCCCTCCAGGCCTCGAACCTCTCCTCAATCTAGGCCTGAAGCCACCTTCACTCCCACAGCAGCGGGCCTTCTGCCTCTACCTTTGAGCATAGACCAAGGGATATCCAAGATGTAGTCTCATCAGCCATTAGGCGGGGATTGGCTGAAGGCTTCAAGTGAATTCTTCAACCTCTGGAAAGGGTTCAGGCCCTTCTCCCTTCTCAATCTATAAGTTCTTTGCCTCATCATCCTGATTTACATAGGCCTCAGGACCTCAGGGTCCATTCTTCTCTACCAGAATGGGAGGAGGTTGATGCGGAAGGAAGGGCTTCACCATCTGAACACAGTTATTCTTCGCATGCAGAGTGTGAAGAGGGAGAGATTTTTGACCAAAATCTTTCAGAAGAAGAGGATTCTCGCCCAGAGCAGACATCCTCTGCATTGGTCTTCAAACCTACTCTCTTCAGACCATTACTCAGCAAGGCCTTGGTCACTGCCAAGCTGTCGCCAGAGGAAGTGGCTCCCGAGCCACAAGGAAATCCCTCTAGCCAAGGGGATTCGCTCTTCTCCAAGCCTGTAGTGCATGCAGAAGTTTTGCCTTCTCCCATTTTGTTCCTGAACATGGTCAAGGAACAGTGCGCTTCTCCTTCAGCAGGTCCTCGCCCATCTTCTCTAGATAAGCGTTTCTACAATGTCAGCGCAGCTCTGGACAATACCCTGGCAGTGCCTTCTGTTGACATTCCGGTTCTGGCCTCGTTCTCATCTTCTGGCACTCCCAGAAGATATCCTGAAACCGGATGATAAACGTTCCGAACAGACCCTCAACCGCAATCACCAGGCTGCTGCTTGGGCTGTTCGGGCTTCAATAGTAGCATCCTTCTTCACCAGGGCATCCATACGATGGCTGCACCAACTCCAGAATAGATTGCCTGCTTCTGACCTTCGGTCTCACCAAGACCTTAATAAGATTATTGCAGTGGCGGAATTCACTGCGGATGCCACTCTCAATTCCGCCAAATTTGCATCCAAAGCCATGGCATCTTCTGTAGCAGCAAGAAGACTTTTATGGCTCCGAAATTGGCAGGCGGAGTCACGCCGAAAATGGAAGCTGGCTTCAGTTCCATTCGCAGGCGATAAGCTTTTTGGCGATGCTCTGGAACCTTATCGAAACCAGAGATAAACGTAAATTTTTCTCTTCCTCTGGGAAGAAAGCCGACTATTGCCCTGCTCCTTATCGCCCTCCTGCCTTCCAAGCGGAGACCTCATCTCGCTTCCCCCGCCCTCACAGGCCATACTCCCAACGCCAAGACCAACGGATGGAAACATCTGGCAGGCAACAATCTTCTGCTTGTAAACTGCCGTTTCGGGGGGTAGAGGGTCGTTCCTTCCGTCGCTCTAAGTAATCCCTCGTTCTCCCCACCCATCGGAGGTCGCCTAGCCTTCTTTGCCTCCAAATGGGAGGAGTCAACGATGGACGCCTGGGTGCTCAGCACTATTAGGTCAGGGTTACAATTAGACTTCCTTACCCCACCCCACCCAAAATTTTTTGATCTGTCCTGTGTCTCGGGACATTTCCAGGCAAGCCCTCATGAATCAGGCCATTCAGCATTTTCTTGAAATCAGGGCTATTCAACCTGTTCCCTCATCTCAACGGGGACGTGGACTTTACTCTCGCCTTTTCATCGTTCCCAAAGCCTCAGGGGGGTGGCGAGCCATACTTGATCTAAAATTTCTCAACCAATTTGTAAAATACAGGCGATTTAAAATGCAGACTCTGCATTCTATTTTAGAGAGCGTTCGGGATGGTGACCTCCTCTCTTCCATTGATCTCACTGAGGCTTACCTCCACTTCCAATTTGGCCTCATCATCGCCAGTTTCTCTGTTTCTGTTATCAGAATAGCCATTACCAGTATCAAGCACTTCCCTTCGGCCTCTCATCAGCTCCAAGGGTCTTCACAAAGGTTCTGGCAACATTGGTGGCATTTCTGCGTTCTATTCCAGTGAGGATCCAATGCTACTTGGACGATATTTTGATTCTTTCCTCTTCCATCCTTGTGACCCATCGGAATCTGCAAATTACCCTGTCATGTCTCCAGAGCCACGGATTTTCCATCAACACCAAAAAGAGCTAGCTCTCTCCTACAACCACATTGCAACACTTGGGAGCGGTCATCGATACCATGTCATGCCAGGTTTTCCTGTCCCCAGCTCCAGCAACATCAAATTGTCCCCCTATCGCTGCTGTCCAAACTTCTGGGGGAGATGGTTTCCTGTATTGGCATCGTCCCGTGGGCTCAGCTCCACTCCTGAGCCCTCCAATGGTTCCTGCTTCCCAACCAACGAGCAGGAACCAGCCACTCATCCATCAAGGTCTCACTCCCGCCACAAATCCGGAGATCTCTCAATTGGTGACATTCCCCATCTATCTGGAGGGGACTCCTGTTCAGGGACCCAGACAGGCTAGTGATAACTACCAATGCCAGCCTCCTGGGTTGGGGTTCCCATATGGAGGGCCAGATAGCTCAGGGCGTTTGGTCCAGATCCGAACAGACCCTTCCCATAAATTGGCTAGAGCTCAGAGCCATTTTTCTGGCTCTCAAGCATTTCAGGCAATCAGTGACTGGCTCTCATGTTCTAGTCCTTACGGATAACATGGCCGCAAAGGCTCATGTCAACTGGCAAGGCGGGGACAAGGTCCAAAGCCCTCATGAGAGAGGCTCTACGGTTGGGGTTATGGGCAGAGAAATACCTATTATCGATCTCGGCGGACCACATCTCCGGGATCGGCAACTCCCAGGCCGACTGGCTCAGCAGGAGCCTAGTCGACCAGACAGAATGGTCCATTCCTCCATCATTCCTGGGACCTTCATTTGGTCCTTAATGCCCGTACAAAGCGCCCCTTTGAACCCCTTAGAACAGTGTCTCTCCGCTTCCTGACTCTGAAGGTAGTGTTCCTTGTTGCCATCACTTCTGCGAGGAGGGTTTCCGAGCTTGCTGCTCTTTCCATCAGACAGGACCTTTGTTCCTTTCATGATGATAGGGTTGTTCTTCGTCTGGACCCCTCATTTATTCCAAAGGTTAACACCTGGTTTCACAGGTCCCAGGACATTGTTTTGCCTGACTTCTGTCCTCTCCCGCACCATGACTTAGAGCGGCAGTGGCACACACTAGACGTAAGAAGGGCTCTTAGAATATACATTAAGCGCACTTCCTCCTTCAGGAAGTTGGAAGCCATGTTTGTTTCCTTTTTCCCTTCTCACTTGGGGCACAAGGCCTCTTCTCCTACTATTAGCAGGTGGGTCAGGTCTTGCATTGAGCAGGCCTACAAAGCTGCGGCCCTTCTGGTCCACGAGGTCTGACGGCACACTCTACCAGAAGTGCGGCCACTTCTGCTGCCTGGGCGACCCAAGCGTCCTTGGAGGAAATTTGTTGTGCAGCCATGTGGACATCCCCGTCTCCTTTCATCAGACGCTACTGTCTGGATGCCTTTGTCTCGGCAACTGCAGCCTTCGGCAGTTGGGTGCTTCAACGAGTGGTTCCACAGTTGGTGTGATGAGCCAGACAAGGACCTGCCCGTAGACATGCAAGCTTTGGTATGTCCCATCCTGGGCTCTTGATGCAGCATGGAGGAGAATGGGTGTTAGTAGAAATTACTGTTAACGCCCTTTCTATCTATGCTGCGAGAGAGCCCAGCCCCTCCCTTGATTCGTCCGGAGAGGGTAAGACATATTTCTGTATTCATTTTGTGCTTTCAGAGACACCTTTCAGTCTGTCAAGTATCTTCGCCAAAGCTGGGGTCTCTCCCGGGGGGTGGCTTTTATATCTTAGTACAGACTCAGCTAAATGACATCATAGGAAGGAGTCAACCCATCCTGGGCTCTCTCGCAGCGTAGATAGAAAGGGCGTTCACAGTAACTTCTACCAACGCCCATTTCTAATATTAAAGTTTCAAGTACTAATTTTACCACTTGAAAACTAAAGCTTAAGACCATTTAGGACTTAGAACTTCTGAAAACTTCTGAAAACGCTCTTTAAAAATCTGATATATTTTCAGGTATATAATATGTATACTTCGTGATGCAATAGTTGGTTTTCCAGATTAAAATTTGTTTCTTCCCATTACTAGTTTCTAAAATAAAAGCTGAGAAGAGAAGATGTGCCAAAATAAATTACCCTAAAAAGAGTATTTTGCAATTGCAGAGCACAAACAATTCCCTGACCATTAGAAAATTGTCTATGCAACATACTATTAGTACTGTCTTCTGCAATACTCTGTATACCATTGCTATTCCCAGCACAAAATTCTTCTCTTGCCCTCTAGAAGTAGGCAATATATAGTAGCAGCGATGGCAGCTTATAGTAAGGAGGTAGATTCCCAGGAGGACGAGATGTCCTCCAGAGGAGTAAGGGGGAACTCAATCTAGATGTTATGTGTGAGATAAAGAGGGTAAAGATATCCCGTCCCTAATAGTTCCCAGAGTTTGCTATAGATGCTGATAGTAGGATACTCAGTCTAGCAAAATTCATTCCATTGGTGTGAAACAATAAAGAAGTCCTTTGGAAGAAACACCATCTTTTTTGTTTTGGAGCCTGACAGTAGCAGAGTCATGTACTTGATAGGAAAGATATAAACAATAGAATAGGGCAGGCAGACTGAGGGTAAATGTTTCTAGGAAATTTACTTTAAAAAAATTGAAAAATGTTTTGTTTTCAGTAGCCTTGGTATTGGAATCTCAGCAGTTAAGATTTCAGTACTTGTAAGTTATGCTTTGCATGTAGATGAGTGTGAGGTAGCCAACATACCTCAGAGGAATTAATGTATGGAACAAGTGATGATTTCAATAGCAGGACAGTATGGTTAATTTTTCTTCTCCTTTTATCTTCTGAACATCCTATCTATCTGTTTGGCACTGTTCAAAGATAGGATAGAAGTTGACATGATTTCTCTAAATTTCATAATTATGTAAATAAGTATACAGTACACAAAATTTAAGTTCTAACATGCAATCTACTCTGATTCATAAATATGCAGCCTAGGAATCTCTTGATTATGTTAAAAGTTTGCCATGCTGCATCTGGGCCCTTAGAGATAAAATTTAGGTAAAGCATTAAAGATAAAATGTTTGCAATTTATCCTTCCATTAATGAAAGACTAGATTCAGAATATTAAGAAAAATCTAGATGGATAGGGTAAGATCTTTTCTCAGAAGTAAGAAGTCATCTTGCTTTCATATTATGCTCTATATTTTATATCCTTTACAACATATGTTGTTCTGTCCATTTAGGTATTTTTTCATGCTATTTGTATATTTATATGCTTGTGTGTTATTATTGTATAATTGCATGTGTATTATTTTCTATAGCAAATAGTTTAAAAATTGAGCAAAAGTGTTTGGAATTTTAAAAGTTAAGGAAGCTATTTAAAGGAAAATAACCTTTTGAACAGGTATAGAAGAATGAAAAGATTATTGCTACAGTTGCATAGAATTATTTTCTTTCCTCACATTCTCAGCAGTTTCCAGTTAACAATAACTACACAATTTTTAATATAAAGAGGCAAATGCCTGTTCACAACAAAGCTTTGCAAAGTTTTCAGATTAACATATCTTCTCCATTTATTTATTTAGTGTCATGATTTCAGTTAAAACCCATGAATGTATGTAGGACATCTGAATACAAGTATGTTCTGTTTTCCTCAAGAAGAAGACTCTTGTTTAGTCCTTAATTCCATTCAAGTCACCCAGCTGTTTTTTCCTGAATAAATAAAATAACTTGCGAACAAAAATATGTAAATAGAAAGTGATAATAATGACAGTGTGTTTGTTTTGTTTTGTTTGCAAATCGGTTGTCAGGATTATGGTTTCTGGTTATTTTGTGTTCCAGCAGAATTGAAGAAAAAAGTATTGTAAGGATTATTAATCTATTTTAATGTTTTAAGTAAGAAGGAAAGAAATGGACACAAGTCTCTTAAAAGGATGTTTGTATTAAATGTCAGGCATATCATTTGATGTGTATTACAGGAATATTTAAGAACTTCGGTAAATGCATATGTAATAGTAATTATACTGATCGACAATAATTATGCTTTGGGATTTGTTGTAAACCATCTTCAGGAAGCATTCCAAGGAGCTCACAAAACTCTCAGAGGAGTTTTTCCAATATCTGTTATCCATTACAAAATGATTTTGATTCTTTATATTCAGAACCAGCAGATTCCTAAACACTGCTTGGTCTGTTTCAGCAGAATTCTTAAAGCTTGTAAACATTAATATATATAAATCTAAAGAGAGTACATTTTTTTTAGTTTCAAAATATCTTGCATCATACTACACTGAAATTTGTTGCTGTTGTTGTTTTAAAAAAATTATAGGTTCCAGCACGATGTGGAGTAACAGTCCGGGAGAGTCTAAAGAAAGCTTTGATGATGCGAGGTCTTATCCCAGAGTGCTGTGCTGTTTACCGTATACAGGATGGGTATGGTTTGATTGCAATATGGCTTTATGGGCGGTGATCACTTGAGAGAAAAATACTAAAGGGTCTATTTCCAGGTGTCTGAGAATATTAGCTTTCAATATTTCAAAGCAACTTCAGAAATATGAGAGCCTCCCAGTAAAAGCTGATCAGACTGTGGGAGGGCAAATGGTAGGAAGAGAAGAAGAATTCATTCTCTGGATTCATTAGTTGATTTACTGGAGGATGGTTTAATGTGATCTCTCCTTTACGTTATAGTGTATCAGCTTTCAAATTGTTTCTGTCTCTCTGGCTTTCTGTGGAGACTACTCTGGCACTAAACTGGTACATTCTGGACATGCTGGAAGTTGTCATGTGATCAGAACGAAGTTTCCTTTAAAAAGAGTTATATTAAGTTTCTATGACGAAAGGGCTGGAAAACAAATATTTGGTATCACCGTCCTCTGATACGCACATCTGCATCATTAAGATTGGAGTTTAGAAATTGTGTTTAACTTCAGAAAACTTATTTACACTGTAGGGAAAAGAAGCCCATTGGTTGGGACACAGACATATCCTGGTTGACGGGAGAAGAACTTCATGTGGAAGTCTTGGAGAATGTGCCTCTTACGACACATAATTTTGTAAGTCTTGCAACTTTTAAAAACCACATTGGTCTTAACTCTTCCAAGCAAAGTATTTACATTCTCTCTGGTAACTTTTGCAAACTGCAGTCATAGCACACTCTTGATCAAAATTGTGTCAGTTTCTTATGTGTATGTCTTAGGAAGCACAGCCAGAAAGCTGACAGCAGAATTAATTGTGAAAGATTATTGGATTATTTTTTCCCTATTTCTTTTAAAATTTGCAACCAGGTCTCCCTAATTAGAAATTGCCACATTTGGTGGAAATATGTACCAATTTGCTTGCAATCTGCCTAACATAATCTAGATATATAATAATTTGTAGTGTTTAAATTTAGCAGAATGTAATTCTACTTCTGTATGATATTCATGGTCAGTTCTTGATCTACAAAAATTTGACATCCCTAATTCTTACCAAGTTCCCTGACAATTAGGTTGCATTGATTTACGAGATAATTGCAGTTCAAACAGATATATTTAGAATTGCATATGGAATCGCTCTCATTTTTCTTTCATAAAAATTTGTGTGTGTGTATGGGTGTGTGTGTGTGTGTGTGTAGGCTTTAATATGCATAGATTAAAGTCCTACTAAGCATTTAGAACCCATATTTCTTAATAGTGATGTCCACCTCTGTACAGAGAAGTAGAAGGAAATAGGGCTAGGCAAAGTGTTTACATTAGAACAGAAAGGAATAGCAAGAATACCTGTTTTTCCATCATTGTATGACTTCTTCAGTGTCTGAATAAAATTTCAGCAATTAAACTGTTTAACTGAATTATTTTGTATGGGTGATTGTCTTCAATTCTTGAACCCATTTTCTTTAATAAAATACCTTGTAATAAAATACAATAAAAAGTCAGAACATGAAGTTGCTAGTTTAGGCCTGAAGGCAAATAACTAATTAACGGTAAGAGAGAATATCTCATTATCTTGTATAAATGAAAATTGTATTTTGCTTTAATGCAAATAAACATTTAATGATACAGCATTTCTTTAAGCAAATGTGCTCTAAATTTTGTTAACGATAATAGCATGCTTTATTTAGTCATACATTCTTCTGTTTCTAAAGCAGCTTTCCTAACATGCCAATGGCATCTGCTGGCAGGAAGGAAGAGAAGGCATGATGCAAATTCTTTCCTCTAAATGCTTCTGGGTGATGTTGCAATACAAGTACAAAAGAATGAACTTTGCACCGTGCCATCATAATGCACTTTTCATAACTTTGTTGTCACAGTTGATAGAATCACCTAATCAACATGCTGAAAGACTATGGGATTTTTGGAGTTGTGAACTAATACACCTGATATGTTCTAGATTTTGCTTTCAGTGTTTCAAAAACGAACTATGATCTTCACAAGTACACTACTTATAGAATAATATTGAAAAGAACCATAATCAAATTAAAATGTAGGCAGTTCTTTGGCAAAATCATATTGAACAAAATAGCATTTTATCTCTTATTTTTTTGATGTTATAGGTACGGAAGACATTCTTCACTTTAGCATTTTGCGACTTCTGCAGAAAGTTGCTTTTCCAGGGATTCCGTTGCCAGACCTGTGGTTACAAATTTCACCAGCGTTGCAGTACTGAAGTGCCACTAATGTGTGTGAATTATGATCAGCTTGAGTAAGTAACTGGAACCTCATTGCATTTAAATGCCCTAAAGCATTGATGTTTGCCAGTGCAGAACTCTAGGAAAAATTAATGGGATATAGTGGCATCCTTTGTAGTACAAAAATAAACTATGTCTTCTGATGATGTCTTTTCCATAAAGAGAGGTGCTTGCAATATAATTGAGAGCGAATTTGGTTTAGTGTTAAGGCATCAGACTAGAAACCAAGAACTGTAAGTTCTAGTCCTACCAAAAAAAAAAAAAAAACCAAGAAAATCCAGTTGCCTCCTGAAAAAAGCACCTTTGGGGCAACTATGACCTGAGAATCTCCATGGACTTTTATCTATGCATTTTGAGATGAACACCTTTCGAATGGTGTGGGAATATGAATAGATTTTCCAGAAAAATTGCAGACTACAGGAACCATTTGCACTTTAGTTTGAGATGCAGACAACACACTCTCATCCCCAACTGCCTGAGTCTGTCTTCAACAATTGAAGGGACACAGCAGAAAACATCTTGCAGCCAACAAGGCTCCGCACACATTTGCACTACTCAGGTGTCCCTGAGGACACAGATAAATCTCCCACGTGGTCTCAACAAATCTCTAAAAAGAATGCAAATGACCAACTGTCTGCAAGGAATATAAATCCTTCCATTCCCCATCATCTAGTCAGATGGAAGAAGCTTCTTGGATGAGAAGTGAAACGTCTTCAAAGAAAAAACAAGAATGTCCAGTTGCCTCCTGAAAAAAGGACCTTTGGGTCCTTTTTCAGTCACTGTCTCTCAGCCCCACTCATTTAACAGGACTGTTGCTGTGAAGAAAATAGGAGGAAGGAGGAGTATTAGATCAGTTTGCCGCCTTGAGTTGTTTGTAAAAAAAATAAAGATGGGATATAAATAAAATTATACTAAATATCTGGCTGACTGCAATAAATCATAACAATAACAAGGGTGCAGAGGAGTACAAATCCTAATTTAAAAGGAAGTGATCAAGTGCATACATGTTTTTGTATCATGGAAAGATTTATGTTGGATCCATTCTGCTCCAGCTATATTTCATATGCAGTGGTCCCAAAATCCAGGGCAAAATGACAAGCCCATAAAATTTTGCATTCAATAATGCGTGACTGGCCAGACAATAGAATTGTCATTTGCACTACTGCATAAAATAGAGTTTGTATAAAATAGAGCTACGTTGGCAAAATTTGTGTAATTATTTATTTATAAAATTCCTATCCTACCTTTATTCACCACATCGTAAAATAAAAGGATTTAAACTGTTGTGGCAGAAAATGCTAAGTCTTAATACAAGACTTAATATAAATACTGAGAAAAGCTTAACTTTCATTCTTAGAGCACAAAGATTTGTTAATGAAAGAATGCATTTTGTTCAGATTAATCTGAGGAATAGTCTTTAAAAATCAGAAGCAGTGCTTAAAAAACAAAATGTTTATTGATGGTATTTCAATGATTTAATAAACACAGATATACAGTAAAAGGATACCATAATGAACTCATATATCCATTCAGTTGTTGGCTTATTCTTGGGCAGAATGGATTCCTTTACCTTAATACATCTTGTTCTCCATCAAGCTGAGACCAATAACATTATTCCAAAGACATGCTGGTGTGGCAAAAGAGAGATTTAAAATGTGCATGGGGTAATTTATCTCCATTACAGATGTAACATTTTAGCCTTACTTCTATCACACAGAAAAGCAGAAAGTTGCTTATATCAAGCAGAAACCAGACCTCTACTATTCTGTCTAATAAAAGGAGTTTAATAAAGTGAGAATTCCAAACTATTTAAATTTAAGTTTCCTAATTGGGTATAATTTTCTATTGCATTATTTGGGGGGGTTTGATAATAAATTTATAATATTTTTTTTCTCTTATGTTATTATTCTTATTCCACAGTTTACTTTTTGTCTCCAAATTCTTTGAACATCATCCAATACCACAAGAAGAGACCTCTATAGGGGAGACCACACCAGCAACTGGATCATATCTTTCAGTGGCCCTTTCAGATTCTTCCAGGTACGTTCTTAAATCTTGGCTATTCTACTCATACTAAGATTTTATTTACAAGTTGACTGTTTCAAAATCCTATTTTGCATCTTGATTTGGTAGATTGTGGTTTGCTACTTTTGTTCTTAAAAGTTGAGCATCTGGATTGAAATTGGGGACTTTACAGAAGATGGTTATTTTTGAAAATAAAACTTCAAGTTGTAGGAGAAAATGGGTTAATATCTCACCCTGAACATCTAGATGACCTCTCCCAGGATTACATGGAAATGTTGAGTAGGCTGGGGAAAAAGACTGAACTTTTAGGTGCTCCATACCAAAGTACCTGGGAGTCTGACGTCTTCCTGTCCCAGCCCTCCCCAATTATCAAGTGGAGTTGCCTGCTCAGGTAAAAGCAGAACCGCCACAACTCCTAACTCTTATAGGTCCAAAAGAATACTGTAGTCAACTATATCAAAGGCTGCTGAGAGTTCTAGGAGAACAAACGTGGTCATGTATCTCCAACTAAGCTCTCTGAAACTGCATCTCCACTCCTTTCTCAATAACTTACCTCTCCCTAAGAGATAGGACAGTAGTTTTCCAGTTTTGTTGCATTCAGACCTGACCTCCATCACTTCCCCTTCTCTCAGAGAGTTGTTGACTACTCCTTGGATCCAGTTTCTACACTCCCTGCTGCTTTTAGTAACCAGGTACGGCAGAATCCAAATTCCCAAATACCAGAGCCAAGAAAGATCACAGAGGTCTTTGCCTATTTCCTTGTGATCCTCAGTCTCAAAAGTGAGTGTTTTAATCCACCAAATGTTCAGCCAGGCAATCACGACTTAAATTGATTGGATTTTATGTTCCATCCTTCCCCCATAGTGTTTTCTGTACCCTTTTAAAAAGTGCAGCTGTCTAAAATTCTGCAGGCACAATAAGAGTTGAGGAGTAATTACCCTTCATTGCTTTTATTGTTACGAGGTAGGCTTTCATCTCAGCTCTTCCTCATATCCAGACACACATTTGTTTTTTGTTTCCCACCAGCATCACTCTAGGTGTTTCTTCACCCATTTTGTTTCCTAGAGGTCCAAATAAGGAGATACATCATAGTCAATCTTATCGAACAGCCTGTTTGCCTTCATTCCCTGCATATTCCAGAGGTCAACAATATGTTCCACAAAACATCCTTTCAGATCATTGGGAAACTCCCCAACCAATCAGAACACAGCCAAACCCCCTACCAATGAGAACACACCCCCACCCAATCAGAACACAGCCAAGCCCCCACCCAACCAAGTCACACACCCACTAGCAGTTAAAAGGAAGAAGCAGCTGCAATCTCACATCACTCTGAGAAGCACAGAGCTGAAGACAGAAGCCTGAAGATGATGAATGAGACTTCATCGAAACGTTGCCTAGATACTTCGAATCTTACGCGGGAGAAAACCCGAACAACCAAAGATCCACATACAAATACCCGCGAGAACCTCAGAAAACAAATATTGCACCTCTACGGGGAGGAAACCCACCATCTGACCAGGACTTATGAAAAACTTGAAGTCCAAAGAGCTTCCATTTTATGTGACCTTGCATTCCTATGCAACTGCCGAGATCAAAATTTAATTCCCACAAGCTTTAAATTGAAATTCCACACCAACACAGTAGCCACCAAACGCATCCTAAAAAGAACAGAATTGGCCCTAATTAGAAACGAACTTCACACAAAAAGGTTTCTCCTAGACCAAATCAACAAAGATCTCCTCACACTCCACCTCAGACTCAGCAACAAGATTCACCCCCTACTTTGGGACAAATCCAAACAACTCGCTGTCTGGAGAGCTGAAACACAGACCACCCTCAAGACAGACACACGCACCAACAAACTCAGAAAACTACAACAACGCCAGAAACCAACTTCTCCCCCCCCCCACAGCCACACATGAAACAAACAGTGCACAACATCTCAGACAAGATCCTCACCGAAGCTGAAACCAAGGTCCTTTCAAAAGGATTCAACTTTGCTGTCGCTCCCAAACACATCCCCACAGAAACCATCATATGTGGAGTTGAAACCAGCCTGACCAAAACCAACCCTGATGATGCTAACAAAATCAGACTCAAAATCACCAACATCCTCTGCACTAGCAAACCACCCAAAAGCAACTTATCCAAAGAAGAACAAACTGCACTACTTAACCTGAAAGAAGACACCAGCATAATAATCCTACCAGCAGACAAGGGCAACGCGACAGTGGTTATGAACACATCTGACTACCAAACCAAGTTAACCAACCTACTCCAAGACCCCACATACAAACCCCTAAAGACAGAACCCACCACCTACCTAGAAAAAACTACCAAATCCAAAATAAAAGCCTCCCCCATCAGTGAAGAAATCCAGCAAAGAATCATACCCAGAGATAAATCATCCAGATGCCCTAAGCTTTATGGTCTCCCCAAGATACACAAAGAAGGAACCCCACTCAGACCAATAGTCAGCTCCATAGGCTCACCTCTACAAAACCTGGCCAAATTTCTCGCCAAACAACTACAACCCTATGCAGAATCCATCAACTCACACGTAAGAAACTCATTCCAGTTCATCGAGATCATAAAGAAACAAAACTTACAACCCAGCGACCTACTAGTAAGCTTCGATGTCATATCCCTCTTCACCCAAGTGCCAATAAAAGAAGCCATCCAAAACAAATACAACCCCCCCAAGCACATCCTAGATCTGACCAACCACTGCCTATCCAATACATACTTCACCTACAATGGACAAAAATACAAACAAATAGAAGGAGCACCCATGGGATCACCCCTCTCACCTGTCATCGCTAACCTCTACATGGAACACTTTGAAACACAAGCTCTAGAAAAATACGACCACAAACCCAAACTCTGGTTCAGATACGTAGATGACACCTTCATAATCTGGCCACACGGGAAAGAAAAACTGAACAACTTCCTCACACACCTCAACAGCCTACACCCCAAAATACAATTCACCATGGAAACAGAAGCCAACAATCAACTTCCCTTCCTAGATGTCTTGGTATACAAAAGATCCAATGGCTCCCTAGGACACACCATCTACCAGAAGAAAACACATACAAACCGCTATCTACATGCACTCTCACACCACCACCCAGCACAGATCAATTCCGTAGCCGAGACACTCATCTCCAGAACAAAATGCTTAGCCAATGAACAACACCAAAAAACCGAACTACACACTCTCACCAATGTACTAACAGCCAATGGATTCCAAAGAAAGAAGATTACCCACCTAATCCAAAAAGAAACCCCAACCAAAATCCAAGACAGAGAACAAGAAAACGGCAAAGCCCTCCTCCCATATATAAAAGGCACTACAGACAAAATCAGCAAGATCCTCCAAAAACACAACATTAAAACAGCATTCTGCACAAACAGAAAAATATCCACCATCCTAAGAAACCCCAAAGACAAAATCGAATTAGAAAACCAAGGAGTATACGAAATCCCCTGCACTGCCTGCCCCACCACATACATTGGACAAACTAACAGAAGAATAAGTGCACGCATTGAAGAACATAAGAACTCAATCAAAAAAGAAGAAACGACCTCTTCCCTGGTCCAACACCTCAAAACCACAGGACATGAGATTGACTTTAAAAATACCGGAACCATCGCCAAAACCGAACACTTCAACAGCAGAATAATCAGAGAAGCCATAGAGATAGAAAAACGCCCACACAGCATGAACAAACGAGATGACACCTCCCGCCTTCCAGCCATTTGGAAACCCGCCCTCATGAACAGACGAGTACCTAACATGAAGAATGACACCAGACCCACACCCATGAGAGCCACACAAGATGCCACCACCACACTTCCATGTAGAAAACAGACTCACACCCACTCAGAAGATGAGACACGACCACGGACCAGAAGCCGCACTGCAGCTGCATCACTACCCACTTCAAACCCCTCCGAGCCATACATGAAGCAAACCGACACCCACTATGAAGATGCAGCACGACCACGAACTCTAAGCCAAACAGCAAGATCACAGCTCACTAACTCAAATCCCCCAGCAACTAAGACTAACCTGAGCACAACCAAGCCCCCACCTGAACAGAACACGCCTCCAGCCAATCAGAACACGACCAACCCCCCAACCAATCAGAACACAGCCAAACCCCCTACCAATGAGAACACACCCCCACCCAATCAGAACACAGCCAAGCCCCCACCCAACCAAGTCACACCCCCACTAGCAGTTAAAAGGAAGAAGCAGCTGCAATCTCACATCACTCTGAGAAGCACAGAGCTGGAGACAGAAGCCTGAAGATGATGAATGAGACTTCATCGAAACGTTGCCTAGATACTTCAAATCTTACGCGGGAGAAAACCCGAACAACCAAAGATCTACATATATATATACATATATATATATATATATAAAAGGCACTACAGACAAAATTAGCAAGATCCTCCAAAAACACAACATCAAAACAGCATTTTGCACAAACAAAAAAATATCCACCATCCTAAGAAACCCCAAAGACAAAATCGAATTAGAAAACCAAGGAGTATACGAAATCCCCTGCACAGCCTGCCCTAACACATACATTGGACAAACTAACAGAAGAATAAGCGCACGCATTGAAGAACATAAGAACTCAATCAAAAAAGAAGAAACGACCTCTTCCCTGGTCCAACACCTCAAAGCCACAGGACATGAAATTGATTTTAAAAATACCAGAACTATCGCCAAAACCGAACACTTCAACAGCAGAATAATCAGAGAAGCCATAGAGATAGAAAAACGCCCACACAGCATGAACAAACGAGATGACACCTCCCGCCTTCCAGCCATTTGGAAACCCGCCCTCATGAACAGACGAGTACCTAACATGAAGAAGGACACTGGACCCACACCCATGAGAGCCACACAAGATGCCACCACCACACTTCCATGTAGAAAACAGACTCCCACCCATTCAGAAAATGAGAAACGACCATGGACCAGAAGCTGCACTGCAGCTGCATCACTACCCACTTCAAACCCCTCTGAGCCATACATGAAGCAAACCAACACCCACTATGAAGATGCAGCAGGACCACGAACTAGAAGCCAAACAGCAAGATCACAACTCTCCAGCTCAAATCCCCCAGCAACTAAAACTAACCTGAGCACAACCAAGCCCCCTCCTGAACAGAACACGCCTCCAACCAATCAGAACACGGCTAACCCCCCAACCAATCAGAACACAGCCAAACCCCCTACCAATGAGAACACACCCCCACCCAATCAGAACACAGCCAAGCCCCCACCCAATCAAGTTCCACCCCCACTGGCAGTTAAAAGGAGGAAGCAGCTGCAATCTCCATTACTCTGAGAAGCACAGAGCTGGAGACAGAAGCCTGAAGATGATGAATGAGACTTCATCGAAACGTTGCCTAGATACTTCAAATCTTACGCGGGAGAAAACCCGAACAACCAAAGATCTACATATAAATACCCGCGAGAACCTCAGAAAACATATATATATATATATATATATAAAAAACATGACATGACATGACATAAAAATACTTATTTAATTATAACAAAAAATATATAACAAGAAAAGCAGAGCCCCCACACACAATCTGGTCTCCTGACATCTCATATCTCCCAAGTCAGAGGAAACCTCTCTCTCCTTTGCCAGGTGTGGCTGCCTGGAGTTGGGGGAGGGAAGGAAGGCTGGAAGCCTCCCTCCACCTGGAAGCCTCACCCCCACCCTGGGTCTTTAACACCTGGCTTGCTTCTCCACTACTGCCTCCTTCTCCAGCACCTCCTTCTCCCGTGGTAAGACTAGTGTGTGGAGAAAGGAGCTGGCAGGTGCTACTTGGTGGTCCTGTGGGCAAGGCGAAGTCATTCCGGTCCCAGTTAAGATATACCAGTCACAAACCCAGAGTCCAATCTGAGAGTGTGCGGACAGTTCAGCACAGCGGGCAACCTCCAGTTTGTGATGGTGAGCCACATGCTGAAGACCAGATGGCTGTTGGGAAAGTGGGGCAATAGGGGTGATACTGGCTGTGGATGACTCATACACTTGAGAGATCGCGGCATAGGCCTGTACTGCGAGGGGGTGGGGGTGGGGGAAAAGGAACCTCTAAACTGGTGTTACCTCCTGCCTCTTGCCTCCGTGCATTGAGGAGGTTGAGCGGCTGCCAGCGATGCCTTCGGGGGAAGATGTTGCAAGGGGGACGCTCAACCCCAACCAAGAGCTTCTCTTCCTCCTCGGCAGAAGCGCTCACATGCAAATCGCTCACTGCCCCTCTGGCCCCCGACAAGCCTCCTTCCCGCTGAGCGTGTGAGCACTTCTGGCGAGTAGGAAGAGAAGTTCCTGAGGGCAGGGGCATGGAAGATTGCGACATTGGAGCGCTTCCTGAGTGTTTACTGGCCTGCGAGGGGAGGGTGCGATCTCCTGCCCCACCCTGGAGCTTCTGTTCCTCCTTGGCAGAAGCGCTCACACTCAAAGTGCTCACCGCCCCTGTAGCCCCTGACAAGTCACCTCCTTCCCGCTGAGCATGTGAGCATTTCTGGCAAGGAGGAAGAGGGGGTCGAGCCTCCTCCTCACAACATCTTCACCTGTGGGCAGCTGCTTCCTGCAGCTCAGGAGGTCCGCGCTCTTCCCGCTGCTGCTTGGCCTCCTTGATGCGCTGAGGCAGGAGGCAGCAGCCACGACACAGGTTTGCTAGGGAGACTGCAGGATTGCCCCACCTCCCAACCTCAGCATGCTGCGGCCCACCAAAATTTTCTCACGGCCCACCAGTGGACTGCTGGTCTAGGCTGTCTGCCAAGAATGTAATAAGGGTGGAAAAAAACAAAAGGAGATTTCTTCTAACTATCTGTTCTCCGAACTGCTTAGAAAGTTAACAAGGGGTTCTATAGAACTGGTCAGAACTAGTACAATCCCACCCGTGCTTCAGTCCCATCATTCAAAAAAGGCAATGGCGATGTAGATCATAACTATGTAGAAGCTGAATGTAAAGAAAGAAAAGCTGGATTTTAGAGTCCTGCTATTGCTGTCTCTCATACACAGAATCAAAAACCATATAATATATTGGCCTGCTGAATGAAATATCTAAGCTACTGTTTCAGGTTTTTTAAATTAAATTTTTATTTTTTTTTTAAATTTTTAAATTCCACCTATTGTTTTAATTCCATATACAAGTTACAGGTAACCTTGAATGTCAGTTATGGCTTCTTTTCAAGATAAAATTTATCTCCAATCAAATGCACCACTTTGATAATCAAACAATATTTGACTTCTGAAGAAAACTCTTTTCTCAGACCTAAAAGTGCTTCCCTAATAACTTCTCTTTATCAGAGAATACACAATGTTTTTACCATATATGTTCTCTTCACCCTGTTAATTCAACAAATCGTATTAATCATCAGTAAAGCCCCTCAGTAACCTCTCTTTTGACTAATGTGTGCTTTGGTTCCACGTTTTGGACTACTTCTAAAGCATGCTTCTAGTAAATTTCATGTCCTATGGATTTGTGTTTTATATCTGTGTATATCATATGCTTGTAAATATTTGTTCCTTAGAACAAGATGTAAGAATATTGGTGTTTTAGGGCATCCTATACTTAAAATCTCTAGTCAGGCAATTAAGCAGGTGAAGGAATAAGGTTAACTTACACAGGAGTGTTCACCAACTATTTCATGATGTACAATAAGTAGTACACAGGTCATGGTCCTGTGTCAGAAGCCTGTAAAATGCATGGAAGGTTATTACAGTTGCTGTAAGATACGGATCCGTGGGAATTGTTTTTGTCATATCTGTGAAATGAAGCCCTGTAGATCTTATGGTTTTTTTTTTAATGTCTTTCTCAGCCCACCAATTCTCCCCAGTCCATCTCCTTCAAAATCCATTCCAATACCTCAGCCATTCCGACCTGCAGATGAAGACCATCGAAATCAGTTTGGTCAACGTGATCGCTCGTCATCTGCCCCTAATGTGCACATCAATACAATAGAGCCAGTCAATATTGATGTAAGTCCCAAACTAACCATTTTTTTAATCATTAGTGTATTTATTTCTTTATCCCGAACATTTAGAGGCAGGTGTAGCAAGAAAAATTCTACGGACAACTGAGTACTTTCTTCAAAGTACTGCAAGTATGTCTTGATATGGGCGAATGTCTTTTGATACATCACATACTATAAGAATCATAATGATTTTTTATTTAAACAACTTCAACCAATCATTGTAGTTTCTCAAATGCAATCTAGCTAGTGAGAATACAGGACTTCTTTGAAAAAATAAGAGTAAAGGGCTTATCTTTGTCTGGCATTATTAAATGCTACATGTATCTCTCCCCAAGTTAACTATTGATTTTATTTTGCCTGATAATTCAGTATTTTATTTAAAAGCTTGCTACTTTTCCATTAATGGAAGTTGGTCCATATGCTAACACCTTGGCTATTTAACACTGCTAATTGATTATCACTGTTTCCCTGTATCTCCAATCAGTAGGCTTCATTTTCCTCCTTGCCTCTCTAAAACAGTGTTTAAAGTATCCATTAGACGTAGCCTCCTCTAAATTGCTGCTTGATAGTTCACTTCCAGGCCCAAAAGAGCTCAAGCACTCTTTATTAGAAACCTCAGTTATTGGCAGATAAGGAGATGTTTTATAGGTTGATAGTAAAGTATGCTGTATCTTTGCAGCTGCTTTCAGTATGCTTTTCTTAGTTAAATGAAAAAAAGGTGCTATATCACCAGTCCTGCTAATGACAAGCAACATATATAACGCATGAATAAGGTGCATATAGTTTTTGTTTTTGGTTTGTAGGACTTGATTAGAGATCAAGGGTTGCGAGGAGAGGGAGGTAAGTTACTTTGTTCTCTTGCATACTCAATGCATTGCTTTGCCTCCTCCCCTTTATACAACCTCCTTTATGCAAAATACAGACACAGGAGAGAAATATAACTAGTGCAATGAAATTCAGTTGTACTTGCTTGTCCATGACATTTAGCATTGTCTTATAAAAAATTCACCAATTCCCATTTGAATGTGGGTGAAGGGAAGATGAAAACAATATGCAAAGTGGTAGCCAGTATTTTAAAAAACAACAACAAATAATTAAAATTAATTAAAATTAAAGAAGGCAATAGGCCTTCAGCTGATCCTCTTCCTCCTCCATAAAAAGCTTAAACCTGCCATCTGATTCTTTTTTAAGATGTCTGTCAGCTAGCATAATTTCTCAATTGACAACTTAATATACAACAAGAGCATCTAGAAAGATACCTATATTTCCCAAAAACACAACATCTGGAGATATTATGTACATTCTTGCTGAAAAAGAATTGGGTATTGCCAGGCTACTAGAGTGTGCGTGCATCTATACACATATGTATAAACTGCATATTTTTAGATAAATTCCACTACTTAAACTGGCCAATTAATCAGTGAAAAACAGTTCTGAACAACCCTTCAAAAAGACTCCCTAGCAAACATTTATCAGTTGCAGGTGCTTACCAAATAATAAGTATGCAGGATAAAGAAAGATCCACTTATACTTTTTGTGCTTTTAATTTATAGAATGAATGATATGAATGATATTATGAATTATGATTATGAATTCATTCATCTGTAGAATGAATGATAAATGTTAATTAATGCAGATGTCTTCAATCCAGTCATCATGTTTGCTGTCCCCTCTGACTTTGATATGCTTAAAATATGTGGACATGTATGATGCTCCCATGGTGTAAGAAGCTTCCAGATTGTAGTGCCAGGATCCATGGTCAGGCAAGGCTGGAACTTTGGCAATTTGGAAAAAGTCACTTCAAGTTTTATCAGCAGTTCTAGTAAAGAGAAATGTCACTGGCAAAAGTCATAACTGCAGAACTGTGTATTTTCCCCACCATGTTACCTGGTGGATGTTGCTGCAATAGCTACAGATCCTGTTCAGGATAAGCTTCATTTAATGCTTTGACTTGGCTACTATCATTTGAATATATGGTGCAGGCTGTACCATGCAGTACAGGAAAGCATGTCTCCTTAATCAGCTGACCCTTTTGCTTTCCATGACATTTGTTTGTTTGTTTTCTTTCTTTTTAATACATTTGCAACCTATGCCTTCACTACAACATTTAGGAGAGACTCAGTTTTTAGTCAGGATTTGTTTCTTCTCCCTCCCCTCCTTTCCCAGTTACATCTAACAAACTGGCTACTACTTTGCAAATCTGAGACTACAGGTATGACTTCAAGCCATGAATGCTGCCCATTACATTGCCCATTTGATAATTGCATATGTCTAGGGAGCTGTGGCTTTTGGAACCGTTTTGCCCATTCTGTCCAACATTTAAGTGTTGTGTACTAGTATGTCATTTTAAATTCTGGTCAATAGGCTCTCTCTGGGGCTTACCGATTCCCAGCCTTTTGAATAATATGCTGTATTTTGTTTTTGAAATGGAATCACAAGTTTCTGCCCTGCAAAATCATAAGCAGTCTGTGCATAGAAGTCTTAAGCACCTCAGTTATGTCCCATGACTTTCATTTCTTCTGTGTGTCTGTCTTCCTGTCTCTGCCTGCCCGTCTCTTTCTCTCTAACAGCCCCTATGAACCAGCTGATGCGCTGCCTTCGGAAATACCAATCCCGGACTCCCAGTCCCCTCCTCCATTCTGTCCCCAGTGAGATAGTGTTTGATTTTGAGCCTGGCCCAGTGTTCAGAGGTAGTTGGGCTCTTCTTTCTCATTTTCACCCAAATCAAACTAAATAAAACCACAGATGCTGTTTGTGCCTCACCCTCACAGCGTGTGTATGTAAGTGTGTGAGTTTATCAAAACATTATCATTTTTATTTATTTATTTATTTTTTGGCTTAGCCTGGCTGGAATGCTTTGAATGTGCTTTTTTCCACTTAATAGTCACTCACTCTTAACTCACAAATTATTCTGTGTTGGACATCTGTCATAAAGCTGCTGGAGCATTACGTTATAGAGATAAGGTTTTTTGGACTATCTTCTTTCGAAGTATTGCTTGTTTTACAAAGTCTCGAGTTACAGTATGAAAAACAAGGACAGGACAAGTCCTACAGATAATTAACATCTGTGCAAAACTTCATTCAGATTTTTCTGAAGTAGGGTTGCCAACCGATGCAAAATGGGGGGATCAAATTGGCCAGCTTTCTTTATTTTGTAAGATAAAACTTATGCCATTTTGCTGGCCCTCCAACCAATTAATTTATAGATCCTGAAGTGAACTTCAGTGCAGAAGTTGACAACTCTGCCTGGATTCCAGCAGGACCATACTGTTGTGTATGATCTTGAGGCTTTGCAGGGGTTTGGAGTAGATTGACATTCCTGATTTTCTTGTCTGTCAGTTTTAACTTAATGCTTGAGCAAAATCCTATTTAACACTGTTTTTCAGAAATCTGTTGCAGAGCTAATGATTCTGCTAGCAATTTTGTTAATTATCTGGAATATGATTTACCTCAATTATATATATTGCTGCTGTGACTAATCTGTAAATTAAAAAGATATATATTATTGTTTAGTATGGTTCAGCTAAAGTCAAGATCACTTTGAAAACTAAAATATAGTAATATTCCACTTTTCCTGAGATTATTGATACAAAAAATATTTTCTTCTGGGCAAAACACCGGAACCACAATTCAGGATTGGAATTAGACACAGAAACAATTTCCCCCCTGCTTTGACTGAATTATAGTCCAGAAATTAAACTGAAGCATAAAATGTCAATAGAAAGATTCACTGCAATACAATTTGTACAAAGAAAAACTTGTAAATGTAGTTCTTCAATTTATACAATTTATTTCCTAGGAAACTATTCACCTTATAAGTTATATAATTAAAAATAAATAAATACCTTTTAGAACAAACCAGCTTACACAATTAAACCAAGAACAGGCATTATGTTAGCATACTTTCTTGTTTTGTCATAGATTAAAATGTTTCTGGTTTATATTGTTGGAAAAGATACAGCTTTGTTTAATAAATTAATATAAACAGATTTCAGCTACTGTAGTTTTTATTTACTGATTTTAGCATTTGACTATGACTTTATTAACACAGCATCTTTCAGATTTATTGAAGCTGTATCCAAGAATTTCCAAAAAGTGTGGTCCAACACTACTGTCCAGAAATGTTGGTAGTTATGCTTTCTGCACATCTGGAAGATGCTCATTTGAGGAAAAGTGGCATAGATAAACCTGTACTGTATCTTATTCCAACATTTATATCCTTTTCTCCATGAAATATCAGTATGATTGCTTAGGAAACTAAGCTTGTGTTCTACTGCCAGCTTAAATGATTTGGAAAGGAGAAAGATAATAATTCTTCCCTACAATTCCTTTAAAGTTTTAAATTTCACTAAACCCTGTTTTACAATTATAAAAAGCACACACATGCAAATTAACATCTGTACAAGCATTGCAGGATATATTCTTGAAATCTGAAAATATCTGGGGTGAAAGAAAATTCCCTTTTTGCTACATAGACATTTGGAAAATAAGCTAAAAGAAGATGAAAAAGGAAAGGAAACCAGTGAAAAATCGCTTTCCAAATGTTCAGTCAAAAGCATAAGAGAGAGGTCTGAGGTTTTAGGAGATCTACTTAGCTCCTTCAATATGAGCCACCAAAAATATCTCCTTCACTGTTGTCTTAAAATTTACATTATTTTCTTTTAATACACCTAGCTTATTATATATACCTCTTTGGAGTTTATAATACTTTAAACAAGGAAATAAATAAAAACAAGGCTCAGGAAAAAGCAAAGTAATATAACAAGTAAGAACCCTTTAAAAACAGTGTAAAGAACTATACAGTTTTCAGAAGTGGCTAAATTATAAAAAGATACTGAATCCAGTATCTCTTTATAATTCAGCAGCCTCTGAAAACTCTATAGGGTGCAAATTAGTTCTTTCCCTTTTTTATGAATTAAAGTCACATTCTAACTCCATCTTTTGGCAAAAGTTTTATAATTAAATTGAACTAGAATTGCACCCTGTAATATTTATTAAATGCACCTGGTTTGCAAGTCTTAATCCTTACACTTTAATTGTCTGTTGTGTTTAAAAATACTGCATCTTATACACAACCTTTGCAATTACTGTTTGCTAATTAAGTCAATGTATCTTAAAAACCTGGAGCTGTTTTTTGACCTTTAATTACAAATATAGGCTCAACTACAGGATTGTCTGCCACACCACCTGCATCTTTACCCGGATCTCTCACTAATGTGAAAGCATTACAGAAATCCCCAGGGCCTCAGAGAGAGAGGAAGTCCTCGTCATCTTCTGAAGACCGAACTAGAATGGTAAGAACAAAATTAGCTTATTGAACTACCACCCATTTGAGATTCACCATGTAAGCCAAGTTTCTTGATCTCTTTAAGTATGGATAGGAGATCAAAGTGGGCCCACAGCCTTTCCTTCTTTGTGTATGCAGATTCGCCTGAAATGTTCAAATCTTGATGTCATATAACATAATGTGCTATTTTTATAAAATGGGTTTGGGCTAATTGAGGCTTTTAAAAAACGTAAAGGTAAGGCCATTTCACATTCACCATGCATACAATTTTTACTAAAAAGATTTACGGAACTATAAATGTGCTTTTCTTGCAGAAAACCCTAGGTCGAAGAGATTCAAGTGATGACTGGGAGATACCAGATGGCCAGATCACAGTTGGACAAAGGATAGGCTCTGGTTCATTTGGGACAGTCTATAAAGGGAAATGGCATGGTATGTAACTACCACAGCAACTATTTTTCATTAACGTGTGTATAATGAGATTTTATGGGACAGTCAGTATTGCCCTCTTATATGCTAAACACTTAGTCATTTTATAAGTGGCATGCTTAACTCACTTTAATTTTTGAGCAACATATCCATAGTTCACTTTTTGAAATTCTTTTCTAAGGTGATGTTGCAGTGAAAATGTTGAATGTTACGGCTCCCACCCCTCAGCAGCTACAGGCTTTTAAAAATGAAGTAGGAGTTCTCAGGTAAGATTATATTAATTAAATACAGATGACACAACCAGAAAAACCACTAACTTAAGAATTCATTTAGATAATAGCAATAGCACTTAGACTTATATAGTGATTCACGGTGCATTACAGCCCTCCTTAAGCGGTTTACAGAGTCAGCATATTTCCCCCAATGGTCTGGGTCCTCTTTTTACCCATCTTGGAAGGATGGAAGGCCGAGTCAAGCTTGAGCCATTCAGAATCAAACCACTGGCCTGCAGTATTGCATTCTAACTTCTGAGGCACCACAGCTCTTAATCAGAAATGACCTCTGCCTTTCCTGCCCAATTGCTCCATACATGTACTCCTAATAATGGATCTTGTCCTTCTGGTCCATCAGGTACTTTGTAAAAACAGGGCTACTTAGAACAAGAAAAAATGGGTGGTGACCTTTTAAAAGCAAGGAACAATGAAAAACAGATCAAGTATGCCCAGAAATGAAAACCATTGAAAACAACAGTGGTAGAGTTCTATAACCACCAGTAGGAGAGTTTTATTCTTCCATACTTCGTTTGCTGGCATTCTAGTGGCATCTAATTCAGTCTAATGAAGACTAAAATGTCAAACTGTATCTGATTTGATATTTAAGTGAGCACTCATGTAAAGTTTTAATCTCTAGAAATAGCATGTTATTGCTGGATTTTTTTTCCCCCCAAGTAATTTTAAGTTTTCCTTTTTTCCAACACCATAGGAAAACACGACATGTGAATATATTACTTTTCATGGGTTATTCAACGAAGCCACAGCTGGCTATAGTTACGCAGTGGTGTGAAGGGTCCAGTCTTTATCACCATCTACACATCATTGAGACTAAATTTGAAATGATCAAGCTGATTGATATTGCACGCCAGACAGCACAAGGAATGGAGTAAGTTGGGTATGATTTGCTGAGTAATATGGACCAGGAAACCTGAACTAGTTCACTATAGTGAAATAATTCATAGGGCGTTTCAGTGGACCAGTGAAAATTACATTTGTTCAAGATGATATAAAAACAATCAAATATGTTGATTTTTCAAATTATTGCTGAGTTTAAGGAAATCAATCTATAAATATAGAACACAAACACAAGTGCTTGAGGGTTTGATTATGTGCAATATGTTGATTGATTCCTAGATGGTCAAAGACCAAATAGATGATAAATAAAAATTCATACAACATAAGAGACATATAGAAACAACTAAAACCATAAATTTTATCTTTTAGCGAGAATTGCTGTGACAAGTCAAATAGCTTATGCGGGGATTAATGAAATTTTAAAGTAGGCAACATTGGTTAGGCTTCATAAAAAGCAAGTATAGAACAGAGTCTAAATTGTATTCATTGTTAAACATACCAAAGGTTTTCTAACGGCAACAGGAATTTAAATCCTAATTTCACAAGATAAAAGCAGTACTGTATTAGTTGAGTAGAAGTGTGTATATGGCAACCTTTTGTAACTTAATCCAAGTTGTAGGTTCTTCCTTCCAAAAGGAGTTTGTAGAAAGAGCACAAAATATGTTCATGGTAAATATACATAGGATTACAATCCAAGTCTGAAATTGTGAGGAGTGGCAGGTGCTGATTACTTCGCTGTAACAAATTATCTATATTACGACTTAATTTCACCTGGCTTTTTGATAATTCCTTAAGTAAGTGGCATGATCAATTCACTGCCTGTTTTGTTACTTTGCAGTTACTTGCATGCCAAGTCTATCATCCACAGAGACCTCAAAAGTAATAGTATCCTTTAAAAACACTAACTTTTATCATTCACCTTCCTATTTTCAGAGTGAGTAAAAGAAGGGGGAAAATAGTTGTGGTCAGTTAAAGGTTCATATGTAGATATTGGAGTAGGGTCAACCTTAATTATTAAAGAAAGCAAATATATATTCTGTGCTTAACTAATTATTGTACATCTAAATATGTTTGGAGATGGACATCCAGATTCATATATGTCTTGGAAAGAGTGTGAATGGCGTATCTATCCTAAATCAAGTTTATATATTTCATTACATAAAATCAGCTATCTCTCATACAAATATGTGATCTGTATGAAACTTTCAGAAGCTTTGGAGTCTCAGTGTCTGCATGGACGTCCATTTTGTAACCACATTGCTTTAATTTATCATCACTAACCAATGTTAGAAATGCAGTCTAAAAGCCCTCTTAGCTGTATATCGGTGTGTCATATGGCCTGAAACATGCTTTTAAAACTAAAACGTTTATCGTAGGAAAGCTTAATGCTGGTTGATTTCATAGCCATAGCCATTTATTCATTGGTAACAATATTGAAGTGATTTGTTGTCGTCTTTTTTCAGGATGGGTTTTTTTTCCCCATCTTTTCTATAAAACTTCAATTCCTGGTGGCCTCCCATCCAACTGCCAGCCAGGTCAGATCCTGCTTAGTTTTTTTTTTTTCCTTTACATTTCCTGTCAGATATATTTCTTCATGAGGACCTCACGGTAAAAATAGGTGATTTTGGTCTAGCAACAGTGAAGTCACGATGGAGTGGATCCCACCAGTTTGAACAGTTGTCTGGATCTATTCTATGGATGGTAGGTGAAGGAAGTATTTTCCAAATTCTTCAGCAAAATTGCACTAATCCCTTTTGCAGAGAAAGGAACATTTCCAATATCTTTAGGATGGAAATAAATGTGTAGCAGAATATCACCCCAGATGGAATGGTTGGAAACCTTTTGCTTTCAATCCAAGACTTTGTCCTCTCATTGAACGTTTGAATGCGATCACTACTCAAGTTGTCTTATGTTTTTTCTCATAATATCAATCCCCTTAATGTCAGTGAAAGACTATCAACTACCATAATCATTACAAGGAGGTCATGACTGTATTGCATACAATTTGACCAACTCAGTATCTGCTTAGAAATTACTTAATTTCTATTAATGAGGATTCAGTGAGGATAAATATATAGCTTTTATTTATCCTTTTATTTATCTTTTTAAATACTAACTTCATGTTTGATGATCTGAGATATATACATAAAGTCTGCGATTGCAACAGATTAAAGCAGTTTGTTTTTTATGTCATAGGCACCTGAGGTTATTAGAATGCAAGATAAAAATCCATATAGCTTTCAATCAGATGTGTATGCATTTGGAATTGTCCTTTATGAACTGATGACTGGGCAGTTGCCATATTCCAACATCAACAATAGGGACCAGGTAAGTTGGGGTTGGGAAAGGTGTTATTTCTAAGTTAAAGGAAGTTCTCGACTTATGACCACAGTTAGAACCAGAATTTTTGTTGCTAAGCAAGTTGATTATTAAATGAATATGCCCAATTTTACAACCTTTTTTTGCCATAGTGGTTAATTAAATTATATGATCAATAAGCAAATCCAGCTTCCCCATTCACTTTGTTTGTTGGAAGCCACCTGGGAAGGTTGCAAATGGTGATCACATGACTCCAGGATGCTGCAACCATCATAAATACATACTGGTTGTCAAGCACATGAATTTTCATTACATGACTGTGGGGATGTTGCAACCATGATAAGTATGAGGATTGGTCATGAGTATTTTTTTTTCAGTGCTGTTGTAACTTTGAATACTAAACAGATGGTTTATTTAAATTGAGGATTACCGGTACCCATCCTTTCATATTGTAGTACTGTGGTACTGACAGATTGTTTCAGTCTTTGCAATGTTGTCTTGTACATATTTCACTGCTTTCAGTTTGAGGTGGACTTTTTTTTAGGCGTGGCATAATCTGCTGGTATATGTTAGGTGACTTAAATATCTACATTCAGAGATCAGTATGTCTTTTGTACAAAACAATGTGATAAATTGCAATTATTTGACAACTTTCAGTGAACTTTTTCTTCATTTGAGAATCAGCACGATAGTTAATTATGTAACATTATCTGGGTTATTCAGACATATACAGGTTTCAAGGCTACTTAAAGAAAATAGAATAGTTTTTAAATATTCTGGGGAAAAAGGATAAGAGTTGAATATAACTGAGGCAACTCTGTAATCCTGTTACCAAAAAATGAAATCCCCAACTAGTACCTTCTAGATATGTTAGCCAAAGCTTCAGTATTTTTAGCCGGAATCTGGTACCAAGTTGCAGAAGGCTGATCAAAAAAAGGAGTATTGATTTTTAATATATTTTTGCATTGAGATCTTGGTTCTTGGGATACTTCAGTCATCTTGAGGTCTGGGGAATCTGAATTGTAGATTTCTTTTGAGTGTATGATAATCGAACAACATGATCTCCCGATTTAATGAACAGAGCAATTAATTCAGTATGCCAGGAGAAAGAAATGTGGCTTACTTGTAACAGTAGCAACTTCCATCCTATTCCAAATGATGGTCTTTGAAATTGAGAAGATTTCCAAAATAATTAGCAATGTTGGGCATGCTACCTGCTTTTTAAATAAGATCTTGAAAGTCAAGTGAGTATGCTCAAGTTAGATTTTGCTTTAAGTAAATGTGAATCCCAGTGTTGCTGACATATAGTACAGTGTATTTCTTTTGTGTAATAGTACCAAGTAGGCACCTAAATTGTAACAATAATTTTGAGACTTAGTAACATTTGGTAATTTTTTCTGAGTACTGTAGTGAATGGTGGTGGGTATTGACTACCTAAATGGTCCTTCCTGTTTCAATTATTGTACTTGCTGTAGAGAAGGCATAGATTAATGTAGTGTCTATCTTTGCTTATTTAGAATTATTGAGATATTGGACCAATGTATCTAATACAAATGCCACTTTGGGAATTATGCAATGGATGCAAAACTAAAATTGACAGACATGTTAAGATTTCCTGTCAGCCTTTTACCTTTCCGCGTGGAAAAGAACTAAATTGGTTCTATTAAACTTTTGAAATATACCTAAAAGTATTAAGTTTGTGCAGCATTTACATTCAGTGTCTGAAAAGTGCTTTGCAACATGTAGCAACACAGACTTCCCAGGAAAAGATGCAGTTGCTTTAAGATGTTACAGTTTGGTGCCAAACTCACAGTCCCATGCATTCTGAAGCACTTCTTTTGAGATTTTTAAATCCAAAGCATTAAGCAGCCATATTTTTTTAAAAAAAAAATCACAATAGATGAAATTTAGTTTCCCCTTTTTCATTCTCTCTTCCTTTCTACAAAGATAATATTTATGGTGGGACGAGGTTATCTTTCTCCGGATCTCAGCAGAGTGCGAAGCAATTGTCCCAAAGCCATGAAGAGACTAATGGCAGAATGCTTGAAAAAAAAGAGAGATGAAAGGCCTCTCTTCCCCCAGGTAAAAATTTCTCATAATTTGAGTTAGCGTTTAGCAACAGTAGCACAAGAGCATTACAAGAGCAAGTTGACAATGCAGCTGGATTTCATCCAGTTAGGTTGGCCTGTTAGAAGATAATAGCAGGCACACATTATCTAGACTTTCTTCTCAACTGAAATGTCAACCTCATACCCCTTTTGTCTATGATACTAATAGGAGAGCATTCATACTTACATCCTACAGTATGCACATCAGATACATATTTAGCTCTGCATCTCACAGCAACTCCAGTCAAGAATAGTCTAATCTTTGAAATCTTAGGCCCATAAACAAAATGGTGTAACAGACATATATAGAGGTAGGGCTTTCTAGTTTAAATAATTCTATTGTTACAGGGCTAGTTTTAGTCCAGTGATGGAGAAGTATGAGGTTCCATGATAATGGAACCAAGGTTTGACTTTAATCTTCGACTAATCCCTCCTTGATAGTTAAAGTGTTGTTCTATTTAGAAGAGGCTGCTTTGATAAATAAACATCTGTCTCCACTCTGAAAATGTATGTTTCTTATCCAGATATTTTGACAATGAATCCCAAAGTGAAAAACCACAGGTTAGAATCTTTCGGATTTTACTGGAAATCCTGCAGAGTTAGGAAGAAAACAATCAGATTTAAATAATTTAAATGCCCCCCTTTTTTTTTTCAGTCAAGATTTTCAGCAAAATATGGCACCTTCCAACTCCTGCCTTGCCTTTCTGACATCAGGAGAGGAGACTGAGGAAGGATTCCCCACCAAAGAATAGTCTGTGAAATATTTATGATTGAAATTCTTATAAAAGCAGCAGTTACAATTTCAAGGTTATTTGGAATGAGCTTTTAAATGGTTTTAGTGCTTCCCTTGGGTTTTGCCTTTGTAGCATTCCAGTTGTGCTTTAGGCAGTACACTGTCTCAAAAGACTTTTTCATTGAAAAGAGGCAGTAAAGTATCATATTTTTCACTCCATAAGATGCACTCCCTCCCCCCCAAAAAAGTGGATGGAAATATCTGTGTGGTTGGTGTTGGTCCTTTGATGAAAGCAGCTGGACCATGGCAATGGGGTCCTTTTACAGTGCTGAACTCCACCTCTTCTGTCTCTTTTCCGTGCAGGGGTCAATAGGCAGACCTAGCACATGAGAGGACACCTATCTGTGGTCCTCTCAGGCTTTGCCTGATTTTTTTTTTTCTTGTTTTCCTCCTCTAAACCTAGGTGCATCTTATAGTGCGAAAAATATGGTAATTAGCCGTATTATCTCCATCATGTTTGTAGGAGAATGGAGTTAATTCATAAAATGGCAACTTCTCTGTTTATTAAATTTGACAAGATTCATTAAATACAGTACATCTAACAGATTGCAACTTTAAATATTATTTGTGAACATTGTGTCCATATAAGTAATTCTAGGTTTTCCTTTGTTTTCAGATCCTTGCCTCTATTGAGCTTCTGGCCCGGTCATTGCCAAAAATACACCGCAGCGCATCTGAACCCTCCTTGAACCGGGCTGGTTTCCAAACAGAAGATTTTAGCTTATATGCTTGCACGTCTCCAAAAACACCTATCCAGGCAGGGGGATACGGTGGGTTTTTGGTAAACTGAAAACAAATTGAGAATTGATTTCTAATTTCATTAAGCAATTTAAAATCATTGACAAAGACGGACTGGCTGACTAGGGGCTTATCTAATCCTGGGCTTGCTAAATTTGCTCAGATTAGCTATCTGTTGCTGGCAACAGAGGGTCCTCAGAATTGCCATCCTAGACAAGCTCATGAAGGCCTCTTCAGTAAAATGATTCTCAGAAACTAATATGTATCCATTTGTGTTTGGGTTATAGGTGAAATGTTTCTTTTGTTTGCTTCATTGTTGTAGTTCAGTTTGATTCTAAGTAGAATTTTGTGTTTGCATCTTAAAAGTATTTTGTCATTCGATGGCAACAATTTTAGATCAGCAATATTGATGGCAATGTAAAAAACGGTAAATAAAAGAGTATAAAAGAGTGTAGAGCATCATGAGGCTAAAATACTTGAAGGGGCTTTAAAAAGCAGAAAGAGAAATATGTCTTGTTTTTGTCTCTACAAGTGTGTTGAAATGGCTGCTATTTATTAAAACAATGATGCCCATAATGGGGTAAAATAGTCTTGTAAAAGCAGAATAGTAAACTTTAAAAGTTGTTTAAAGGTGGGATACAAAAGCTTTACCACCAGTTTTCTCTCAAAAGTCAATGGCTTTGCTGTTGCTGCTCAATATTTTGTGTGTTAATGTTTCCTCTGAAATCTCCTTTCTGTGGAGAAAATGTTTCATGCTTTTGTATGGAATTTATCCAGTTAAGTTCAGATCTCCAGTAAAGCAAATTGTAATTCAGGATTTCTTGGACAAAATTATTTCATTTTTCTCTCCTCCCCACCTTTTTTTTTTAAATGATATTTTGTGCTGGAATATCTATCTCCAAAAGTAAACCCTCATATTGCCATTGTTACATTGCCCTTGGCTTAAATAATAACCCTTATTATTTTCAGCATTGAACTTTTTGTCTAGATCTGTCTTTCTCAATTTTGTGCCCCCTTAAGATCTCCAGGATAAATCTTGGAGATAGGAAAACTGAGAAAGGTTCCAGGTGGATTGATATTTGCTGTACTTTATTGTTCATGACAAAGAATTCGGTACCTTCCTATATCTCTTAGGAGCTGCCTTATTTTTTCTGTCGAGCAGAAGCATTTGGTTTTCCAACATAATATAGCAGTGATCATGTTGGCTAGGATTTCTGAGAGTTGCAATCCTAACAAATCTGGGGTTTGGATAAGGTGAGCATTACTCTCAGAGACTGGGAGATAGGTAGACCCTGTGCTAATAAAATAGTGTTGATTTCTCATCATGCTTGCTAGGAGGAGGGAAAGTCTTCCATAGTAGGCAGCCCTCTGTGGCATATTAAATGGCCACTTAGACTTGGAGCCATCTGTCTAAGACATTTGCTGACCTGATGCCCCTTTCTGCCCCTTTCTTCTATTTTGTATGTGGTTGGTTTGAGATAGTAGTAAAAAGTTGCTTAAGGTTGTTTTTTTAAAAAATCCTATAGTAGAATAAAGCTTATATGACCTGGTTGGGATTACCGATGGCATGCACTAGCATGTTCCTTCCTTGTTGGATCTATTTAATTTATAAAAGAGGCAAATCATCTCTCTCGGCAGTTGCAAACCTTTATACTTTAGCAACATTGAACAGTGAAAGTTCAAAACAACAGTTAAGTGCAATTGCAATTAAGCAAAGAATAAAAGGAAAGAAACTTGGTATGTTTATAAGAAGTTGTTGGGCTTCTAATCATGCAACAGTCACCCAACTTTGTGGTGCCTTTTTTTTTTCATGACATTTTACAGAACATATATTAAATTTACGTTGCTGTTCATTTTCTTATATCGCCTAAGAAATGTTTATTGAAGTATTGGCAGTTTTTGATTCCAGGGTAGTTTCCTATGCCTGCTTAGTGAACAGGATGTACAAAATTTTGGTAATATTGGGTTAAGTTATTCTTACTGTAGGACACCATTAGATAACCGAAGGAGTTTCTAAGAAACTGTTTCTTGTATAGTTCAGGAAATATCAGAATACAGTGGTCTGATTATCTGTGAACCACCATAAAATTAAACTCTCAAATATTCTGTTCTTGAATCTGAAACCAAAATGGCTTTTAATATGACTTGAAATGGCCCTCGTGCTTTGAGAGGAGGAACTGAACACACTGCATGCCACGCTTATATGACTAGATGAAATATGAAGCTTTTTGTTCTGCAACCTTGCCCTTACCATTTCCTATCACCATTCAGAATTGTTAATATAGAAGAGCAGCAGGATCAAAATTATTACTATTAATTAATTATTAACCATAAGCCTCTATACAGACTCAAGATGATTGAAAAAATACAGTGGAAATGGGTAGGAGACCATAAATGTTATTTGCTCCATATTATTTGCTCCTTATTAATAATAGCAATAAATTCAAAATCTATTTATGAACATTTATCTTTTTTTAAGAAAAATGGCAGCAGGGAGTCATGTAATAAACTAAAAAGTAGCACGTATATGTAAAGCATTCTTGTGTTTTTGTATTATTAATGGACTAGTAACATTGCAAACTATTTACATTTATGCTAATAGGTAACTGCCATTCTGGAATCAAGCTGTTAAAGGTGCACTTTCTAAGTTTGCATAAATATAGATGAAGGGATATTCCATCTATTTTCCGACTCCTAAATTACTGACCAAAATGTTGGGACTTTAGAGAGCTCCTACTATTCCTTTTAATATTTGAGCTTTAGGCTTCAGTTACCATTAGGTTAAATCTCCTAACTTTTGTAAGCTAAAAACACATGAATAGGAATCGTAGAAATATATAGGTTAACATTGTCTGCTTGCAAATTGATTAATAGAACCTCTTTTACAAACTTGTAAAATGGGCCAGGCTTATTTTACTGATTTTTAAAAAGATTCTATTTGAGTATGCTTTTATTCCATAAGTCCAAAAGATCCTTTGGCACAATTAACTATTAACAGTTTCATTTCTCCCTAACAAGATGTCTTGGTGTATGGCATCAAATTTATACTGGATAAAGTTTCTGTCTTCCTGATGAATTAAACCTAACTTTTAAAACTTGATTCTTATCCTCCCTCTACAGGCGAATTTGCAGCGTTCAAGTAGCCACAGCATCACTGGCAGCAAATCCACTCTTATTTTTAAAGTCTTGTGTTCCAGCCATTTCTTTTTAGAATATTCAGACTCGCTTGTGCTCCTCTAAACACTGCAGTTTAGAAAAACTATAGATCTGTACACTTAGATCAGATCAGAAGGGAGCTCCCAATCCAACCTTGGGTGGAAGGGAAAAGCTCTTGTTTGGGACAAGTGCTTTCCGCTGCCTCTGTGTCCCGCTCCAACAAAAGTCATGTGCATTTGAAGATCTCTAGTGGCTGCCTGTACCGTTGGCATCATTCCCAGGAAAGAGGGAGGGCTGCGCTTTGACTTTCTGGTGCTGTGGCATGATGAAGTTGGAACTCCTTCTGCATCATAGGCTTGGAATGATCTGCTGGCCGGCTTTCTCCCTCTAACTACGATTCATCAGAGGCTGAACGTCTGATGAGACAGAGCTAATCAAAACAATCATCCTTTGGTTTGATTTTATTTTGTGTGTGTTTTTCCTTCCTGGTGTGCTTACTGATCAACAAAATAAGTGCGGCATTTCCTTTTCAATTGAACTTCGCTCTTTTGATTTCACAAAACGAAAATTCAGAAGAGTCAGTCAGAGTCATTTGAAAAGGAAAGGAGATTCTGCACTTTCCAGAATTGCTTTAACCTCCTATTCAGAGCCATCCTTTTCCACATCTTTTCCTTTTTGTATACTTTTGGAACGGGTTAGGAGCTATATTTTTGTCGGTCCAGCAACAAGTGTTTTTACAAAACTGTAGCAAAGCTCAACACGCGTGGCTTCTTTTCATTTTGTATTGCAAATCTGAATCTATGTTTTGTGTGTTGAACTTTTTGGGGATGCCCAGAAAGTCTAATACAGACTATGAATAACAAGTGTACCTATTTTAAAAGGTACAAGGTAGTGAGAGGTACCTAACGTTTCATAAGCAGACATTCTCAGGTTGAATTGAATACATTTCAAAAATGAAACCCAGCCACAACCTTCCCAAAAATTAGACATTCCAAAAAATGTGCTTTGGTACTTTTTTTTAAAAAAAAGCAGAACTTTTAATCATGTTAACTCAGCAAACTGTGAATGAACATTGTGTGCATGAGAGAGAGAGAGAGAAAATGCAGCAAATTGGCTTTAATGGCAGTTTGCTGTTTCTTTTGTTGTTTTTCTATACAAATGGTACTTGCTGGATCAACACCACTCACCTTGCCTATCCTCACCTTTTCCCATGCAATTTCTTTTCTTACCCTTATTTTGTATCCTTGGTGATTGCATTTTGCTTTTCTCTTTATGCCTTGCCCTTAAATCTAATTTGCAAAATGGTTTCCACTTCTTGTTGTTATCCAAACGAGAGAAAATGATACAAAAATCAGACATTAGGTTATGTCTAGCAGAATTATGAAGCTGTATGAATTATGAAGTAAGCAGAATTCTCTATGGTGTGGTGATTTTCTTTTTTTTCTTTTTTTTGGCAAAGGATAGTTGCATGCCACTGGAACAAAATTCATAAGAAAAGAAGCCTTATTACTCTGTCCTGCCCCTGTAGGAGGCTGGAACAACCCCTGTGCTAGTATAGTTTCTGATGGATGAAACTAGATTATCTATGAAAAAGTCAAAATTCAGAAATCACATTTTGATTCTCCAATACTGCAGATCTGTTACTAAAAAAGCCAATGAAATATTTTTTAGTAAAGCTTTGTTCATAAAACTTGGATTTTTTTAAAAAAAAAATTACTTCATGGTCAAGGAACTATGTAGTGTATTTTATTTTTATTTTTGAACCAAGAAATGGGAGCAAGAAGCGTAATGAAAAAATACTGTGAGTTCAGACACTAATAGGATAGTGAAAAAAATTGTCATTATTTCAGGGAAGGTGCATTTCTGCATAAGAAGTGAAGTGATGCAGGAAGTTATAGATGTTTTCTTGAATGACTCCTTTTCACTTCAGTAATTGGTCTGCTTTGAGGAAGCTTCCTAAGAATTTATTCAGAACGAGATTTTTAAAACAACTTGTGATATCTCGCAAAAAGTATACAAGGTTTGTTACGAATGTAAAGCACAACTCTAATGATGGTCTGCAGTAATTTTTAAGTTTTCAGAATACAGATTCTCTTTTCAGCCCACCTCACCATCCCCCACCATCAGTAATCTGTCCTAAAGAGTGAACATCATATGCAGTATGTTGAAGCATCTACAGTATATTGTGTTTTGAAGAGAGGAAAACTACAAGAAATCTTTGCTGTCCTAAATTCATGCAGAGAAAACATGATAAGGTAGTAAACTCTTTGAAGCCAATTTTTCTCAGATCCCAATAACATTTATTTATTATTAGATTTATATCCTACTTTTATTTTGTACAGCTCAAGATGACATATAGCATGCTAGGTAACAAAGAGCATTTTTGGCTCCATAACACTCAATACAGACCAGTGTGGATCATTTGCTAAAGAATATTCAGCCCACTCATATTCTGTTGATTGATGGCTGGCAAAACCAACATTCTTTCAGACTTCTTTCCTCCTCCTCCTCCTCCTTAAATATTCTGTGTTTCCCGAGGAAAGCTGGCCAGTAGTTTATGGTTTATGATTTGTGGGGGTTATTAAATATTGGCATGAATAAAAATACCCATGTTTTGCTTACATGCCATTAAGAAGTCTGAAAAATATAAGTAATCTAGTTGCTTCATCAAATTATGCAACACTGGGTTAGAGGATAAAAGCAGTTCATGAAAATTCTAATTACACTGACTATATTATTGCTCCAAAAGAATAAATTTAAGATAACATTTATCAATGCCTCTTCACTCTTGAATCCCAAATGGTTTGATTTTAGATATTCTGTGTGCATCAAAAAAACAAAGAAGCAGCACTATACACCAATCACATTTCAGTTGGTTGGTTGGTTTGGCTGGCTGTACTTACAGCCTTATCTTTTCCTGCATTTATGTGTTTTGTTTCATCTTTAGGTGCTAGGATTTAGAGCAATTGTTTTGCTTCCTCCAAGTAGCATATCCATGTCATTCCCATAAACTTCTTTAAAATATTGGATGTTGACATCTCTTCTATACAGGGTTCCAGTATATTCTTTCCATCCTCGTTAGATCTTCTCTAAATAAATTACTGTCTGCCACTGATATCTTTTACGTGTAGCTATTTGGAGTCCGAACTTGAAAAACTTTTCTTATTTTTTGTATTTGTTTCCATCTTCATTGTCTTTACAAGTATAGCAATAACACTCATTATCTTTTTAAAAAGCTTTCTAAAATTCTTTGTTAAGTTTTCTGAGATTTTTATCTTGGCTTTGACTTCTCTTGGCAAGTCCACCATTTGTTTTGACACTTCATTTTTTTTTAAAAAAATTGTTCTTTGTTTCCTTCCCCTTTTTTATTTTTTTCCTTTTGGTTTTTTTTACCAGGGGTGGGAGGGGCAGTTTCTTTTCATGTTCAGTAACTTTATTTCACTCCACAATTCCTCTAGATCTATATCAGTGAGGTCCAGGACTTCGAAGCAATTTCTGATATTCTCCTTGAAAATGATAGGTACACGCCCAAAATCATTTTTCCAGATCTGGCTGTCTTTATTCTTCCACTTTATCTTGGCTTGCAACGGTTTGTGATTTGTTCTGTAGTCAGCACCTAACCATGTCTTTGCTGAGCTAATTCACCTCCTTATGCCAGCAATGCAATCAGTTTGATTTCTTTGTGTTCTCTCCGATTATGTCCCTAAACATAGGAGAGGATTTTGTTCCTTGAAGAATGTCTTAGCAGCAAAGAAATTACTGGACTGTCAGAAACTGCTAAATTATTTTTCTGTTTTCAGTTTTCTTGGCCATTAGCTTCTGTAGTTTTCCCCACTGTTGCCAACTATGGTGTTCTAACCATAAATAGCACAACTTTTTTGCATGTTCTAAGAGAATAATAGAGTTGGGACGTTCTCATCTTCTAGTCCAACCCGCTGCTCAAGCAGGAATTCCATAATATCCTTTTCTGCATCACTGTTTAATAATGTTATTATTAAAGGGCTGTCTATGAAGACTAACTCGTATTATTCAGTCATTGACTGCATTATATCCAAGTACTGTCTTTGCTTTCCTTCTTTGTTTTTCATGGCCTGGGTGATAAATAGATCTGACTAAAGCAATCTAATTCCTGTCCATTTTAACTCACTGATGCTTAGGATTTTAGTGTGTACTCTGTGTTGAGCTTTTCCATGTTCATGCTTTTTACATTCCATATTCTCACTGAAATTCTGTTTGTACAATTTTGGATTTTCCTTTCTTGTGTGGCAACATCTACGACTAGATAATAAAGAAATTATGTTTGTTGTTTTCACTAAATCATTCATGTATTTCTAGCATCTAACTATATTGCTGCTCCCTGACATAGATACTTGTTTTAACTAGGTATCTGAGATGACTTCTACATCTTAGATTTTTGTTTAAATCTCGTATTCAAAACATATTTTTTTCTAAGTAGATATTCACCATTTTTATTCATAATGACATCCAGAAAGGATGTCCCTTTTGTATATTCTCTCACCCTCCATTCATGCTAACGAAAATATATATTCTCCTCCAGTTCCCCTTGGTTCCGAGTATTCACTGGTACATAAGTTGGAGTTATTACAAATTTATGGATCCATGTTTTATATACATCTTCAATAACCCAGATTGTGCTAGTCCCTTTAATTCATAATTAAATCCATCTTTATCAACTCCACAAGTTCACACAGATTACTCAAAAATATATCATTTCCATTTTTCTTAAGACATAACAATATACCATTTTTTCATTCTTTTCATTTATTAATTCATGCTCTTTACGGTTTACTCCTTAATTCCAAGTTGCAGTTCATCCCCTTCATAGTATTGGACCATCTAGGATGCCTTATAATGAGATAGAATAAGACTAAATCAAATGTATTAATTGTGCCCATGTCATATTTTATTTTTATTTTTTAAATTTTATTTGTCAAACATGTGCAAGATAACAAGTATAGGTATGAACATAAACATGACCAAAGGAAGTAAATACAGATAAATGGGGACAGTAAGACAGGGGCCGTAGGCACGCTGGTACGCTTTAAGGACCTCTTAAGAATGGGTTGAGGTCCACAGTAGACCATTTGAGCTTGAAGCTGTGAGGGTTTGAGGCTGTAGCAATGGAGTCAGATAGAGCATGCACCATTTTCTGCATAATACTTCAGTCATATTGACCAAAACATACATGCCAGAAGTACAACCAGATTCTAGGTTTACTCCAATGCAAGGTAAGATCTGTAATCTAGATACTGCCTTGCAAGTCATTTAGTCATTGCTTATAACGGAGTTATAAGCATGGGTATGCTTTGATTTTGTCCATCTAAGCATAATGCAAGCCATTGATTCCCCCCCTCCCCCAATGTTTATCTTCTACTGAATGAACTTAATCTAATTGAACACAAAATTGGAATCGGAATATGGGAATGATTCAGGTCCTGCATTTAAAAAGAGTAGTTTGAAGCAATTATGTCAGATTGGTAAACTAAACTCCTATAGAAATCATTGTCCATCCAGAAAGATCTACTTCAGACATGAAATTCTAATTTTCTAGCACAATATGATCCTGTTTTCTGGATGCAGTAAATAATGTACACAGTAAAATCATTTTAGCATAATATTATATCTTGTTCTTTAATCAAGAGATTCATTATAATACCCCTTCAATTGACATTTGAAAGATCGTTTTAATCCTTTGTTAGCATTTGCCATTAGAAATGCCATTCTAAACACGCTTAACCTGAGAATTAGTTCAGTTAAGAACAGTAAAACTGATTTCTGAGTAAGAATTGATTTTAACATTATTGCATTTAAACAGAAATCATCTTGGTCTTTTGAATGAGAATAACTGCATTCAATACGTTAATTCCAAATTAAAATTTCTTAAGAAACAAAAGGATCATAGGAATATGTCCTTATACAAATTTTCTTGTGGCTGAACAAAATGGAGGGCTACCCATTCCAGAATTAATTTTTTTCTTAATATGCTGTGTTGAAATTGTGTTCATTAGCTAATCATCCCAGGGGCAGCACTTACCTCAACAAAGGCTTATCCAGTTGAGAAATTCCACAACAAATGATAGAATGATAATATTCCTAGGCTTCACCTGACCTTTGTTTTTGTGCCATAAACAGCAAAGCCCCAGCACCGTTTTTAGGCTGGCTATGAAAATACTTAGATTAATATGTTGTGAATTAATGTTTCTGACTACCATCCTTACTGTACTTTAAAGGCTTTCCAACATTATGATATTATTTCTGGCAGTACTTCACCAAAAAACACTAGACAGCTATCAATCCTAACATCCAGCTGGTGGTCTTTGTGAAAGAAATTTCTCTCCAGTCTTATGCTGCAATTTTCACTGCGAAACTTCATCATGTTTTGTTTTTTAGTTATTTTTTTAAATTAGATGTTTCAGTTTTTGCTTTGCTTTGGAGGAGGCAAACAGTTTAGGTAAGCATGCACATCTTCTATCTCATTGTATTCTTTTTTGAACCATTAATTTAGTACATCGTTCTAAGACTAAGCAACTTTTGATCCATTGGAAGAGAGGAACTATTGCTCAGAGAGAATGCTGCACAGCTGATCCTGAGAATTTATTCTGGATTCAATCTAAATTTATTTCACTAGAGAAATTAAATCTAGTCTAGATTTAATTATTCTATGAGTTCCATTTCTTTTGTAAGCATATCACATTGGATAGGAATTTGTACTGTTAAATATAATTCACGTTTAATCACCAATTGTATATGGAGGAGAAAGGCATCATTTTTTCCACAAAGTTACTGTACGCTAAACCAGGCAGCTTTTTATCCTTTAGAATGTCGTTATTTCACCTCATTAGTAAGAAACCTCATCAAAACATTACATATTTCAGTAACACATAGAACTGAAAGTTATATATTAATTTTCAGATTAACTGTAAAATGCTTAGTAGCCTTTCAAAAAGAACAGGATGGTGCGTAGATTGTGAATTATTTTATTGAAGTTTGATTCAATTTTCCAACTGTGGGCATAACTAAAAATGTTTGGTGCATTATTCTTGGTTTCTTCATGAAGTTTCAGTAAGTTTTATTTGCAGAATTAGATGATCAGCAAAACATTTATTTTGCCTTTATTTTTGTATTGTATCAGCCTTGTCTATGCTTGCACAAATGTTAGTAAATACATTTTGCTTTATAATGGATCTTTCATGTTTAATCTGAGAAATTTTCCTTAACAATTTGCCAAATGGTTGTGCCTTTTAAAAAGCAAGAAAAAATGACCACAATATTGAGATGCTTATATTACAGGACAGCAAATTTACTTTGACTCCCAATACACTACAGTTTCAAACTTCGGTAGAAATACAGGAAATTGTGCACAAAGCAAAATCTCCTGTTTAAATCTCAATAAAATGAATAGCGACTGGATCCCCATGACTGCCATTGGTCTTTTCAGGAATGTTCCAAATATACTGTGTTTGTGTAGTATTTGCTCCCCAAATCAGTACTATATCCAAAGTTAATTGAAATAATAAACTTATTATTTATAACACTGTAGGAAAAATAAAAAAAACCATTTTATAAAGAAAGAACATTAAACATACCTTTGAGGAAGGGTAAAATAGTTCATGCAGTTATATGTGCTATTACCCCTCTAAATACGTTGGGCTATAATTCTTACTACGTTGATCAAAAATAAAGGAGGTCTGGAGATTACTATATTTAGCTGAAAGTTGTCAAGGCTCTTAGTGAGAAAAGCATCACAGATTTGCTTCACTTGTTCTTCAGGCAACTTGTTGAACTGGAAATCTGAAAATCCCAACCTAAATATAGTTACTATTTTGAGATAATAAACTTGAACAAATATGGATAAATAGCCAAGAAACAAGACAAGAGCTAATGTGATTTGGTATCCTGTTCCAAATTTTATATTTGTGAAGACAGGCGTTTCACAGTTTTTTAATTGGTCCTACCCACCCTCATTGGGGTTTAAGAAATATTAAATCCACTGGGACATTAAATTTTACAAATACTTAATATCAACAGGCCAAAATATTTTAAAATAACAAAATAAACCTTCTGAAACATAATCTTAAGCATTTCTTAAAATGTGAAAGTAAGACCCACTATTCTTGGACCTACTTCAAAATAAATTAGCATAAATTGCAGCAATTACGTATTGTAATCCCTATTTTGACAGATGGAATTCTGAACCTGGACATTTATTTTGTAAATGTCAGAGTGATTATGTTTATTATAGTCCAGTTAAAATATATTAAAAAGTAAATCTGTTAGAATTATTTCTGCTTCCTTTCTGGATTAGAAAAATATTAAATGGGTGACAGTTTTGAACTGTTAGGCTTTCCCAGATTCTGTATTCTACTTATGTTCAGCCTAGTTATAGCTGTCTACTTTTTTCTGTAGTGTGTTGGGATTCTGCTAGAATGTTAGTATCTACATAGAGGATAAGTTGATAGGGAAACATTCATTCAGGCCTGTGCTAAAATGGAAAAAAAATGAACCAATAGAGAAAGAATGGGAACAGTGGGAACTATTATTTGCATTCAGAGTCTGAGTTTAAGATAACTTTTGATCTAAAAGATAAAAATAAAAACATAAGTGCAATAAGTGTACTTTGAAATTTAAAGCTGTGAAAGGTTAAAGAAATCAACCTCATTCCTTCCAGATTGTTTTTTTCCTTTTGTTTTCTGTGATTAAAGTGGCAGTGATCAATATTATTTAGGGTCATTCTCTCCCGGCTTTGGGGAGAGTTCATACATTCATGACAACCAAACTCTGGCTCACCCCAATCCTTGCTTTTTACTTTTTTTTATAAAATCTGTTTCTGTATGACAGCACCTATCGTCCCAAATAACTGCTATATGGTAAAGCTGGTGTTGCCTGTTGGTTGTCAAGAATGTGCTGAACACCAATTTTTTACAGAATAAAATTGAGCATATTGTATTCCTAAATAGTGTTGCTCTATATTTCAGTACAGAGCATATGAGGTTATATTGTGACTGAATTACGTAGTCATTGAGACTGAGCACTAGAGGCCCAACTACTGGACTGCAATAGCCCTTCTGGCCTAAATAGAGGAAGTTTGCTTTTGTAACCAGCACCTCTTTGGGCTATTAGGGACCAGTGATGGGTAAAAAGATTTCTAAGAAGCTGAAAACCATAAATTCCCCGATTTTCTGTTGTCTCTGGAATACAAAAAGGCTTTATCTTCTTTACACTATTTTCTTAAAAGAATTTATATAAAAACTGCTAAGTGCTTGATTATGTCGGTTGACCTTTCCCCCTTTTCAACTGTGCTGCTTCTCTTCAATTAGGTAGGGAAATTGCACTAACTGGGTGGTGAGAGCATCGTTGGAGAATTTCATTCCAATGACTTCTTACCACTTGCACTAAGTGTTCTCTCTCTGTGTTAATCATCACTTCAGGGATTTACAGTCATGGAAAACAGTTGTTCATGATTAGGACTGTTGTATTGATAGGAAATGTCTATAAAGGAGTGTAGAGATGTTATAGAAACTAAGTTCTTTCCATAGGCTTTCTCTTACAACCTTTAAAGTGATGAACAAGAACCTTTGTGTAGAATTTGTCCAGCTTAAAATACTGTAAAGTTAGATCCTATGGAAGTGACTGCAAAGATCAACCAAAAAAAAATGTTGAACAAGGTTATTCTAACAAGTTACTGAAAAGGAGAAATGTGTTTAATTAGTGCAGTGAAAATTTATCTTAACATTGTATTACTTCAAAAAAATTTCCACAATGTTTCATCCTCCCAAACTGCAATTTTGACTCTTTTCCTCTTGAAGAGACAATATTCGGATTTTTTTTTTAAGTAACAGTTAAAAACCATGTTTATGAGGACTGCACTTATTTTTAATTCACAGGGAAATATATTTTCAGCTTTGTTTTATTGATCACTGCAGTGTTTTCCCATCACCCAGCCTTTCCTTTTCTCCAGTTGTTGACTGTAAAAGCTTATACAGATTTCAGTTGTTAGAATCCTCTAGCGTAAATTCCTTTCATTTGTATTTTGAGCTTTTTTCTCTCATGTAAATTTGTACAGTGGGAAATATTGTCCAGTTTGGTTCAGCGAGCATGGAGACATACAATTAAAAAAAAATGACAGCTGAAAATTAAGACTGAAGAATTATTTGTGTAAAGTTATTTAAAGAACTCTGTATTATATAAAAGGTTAAAAGTTATATGTATTTGATGTGAATACTGCTATAATAAAGATTGACTGCATGGAGAACACTTTGCATGAAATCATATAATATAAAAGAATTTGCAACTACATTATGGGAACCTCAGAGCATTAATTGTATCAATGAAACTGAACTCTTAAGCAGGAACTGGTTGTATAATCAGAGAATTAGCTCTGAATGTCTTTGTTCTTAAATGCAACATAGTAATATATTGGTAGAAACATAGTGTAAAATAAAATACATGATCTGGCTTTATAGTTTATTAGTTAAAATTCACACCCTTACGTAAAGCAAAATATTTTCTGTATATATCTTTCCAGAAGTCTATAAGCAATTAAGACAAATAATTTAGATGAATCTCTTTTGAGTACATTTAAATAACTATTCAAACTACATTTGAACAAGACAGGCACAGTCTGACACAACTCCATTCTTGAGACAGATTCTAAATACTGATTCAAGTATTTTTTAAGTCTGCTTACTGCTATTAAATTTTTTAAAAATGTATGTTGATGTTCCACATTTGACTAATTCCTAGTGTTATTAGGAAAATAAGTAGGATGAAACAAAATACAAGGTGAAACAAGATGGTGAAATATGCCCCTACAAGTGGGAAATAAGAAATAGCACTGCAGATATTTCTGGTGTAGTTCAATTTTAATGTTATATTCCTTATTTTGCAACAGTAGATCTTAATGCTTTCTTACTAAGCAAAGTATCCTATTTTAAGAGCCACTTTGAAATCACATGTTTATTATTCATCATCTGGAGGAATTCCTAGCTCTTCATCTGTCCACAAAGAAGGATCTGGGAAAGGAAAGTGACCCTGTTAGGGAAAAATAGAAAGTTTAACATTTTAGGTTATTTTTCAAACAGAAAATTGTTTCACAGCCTTGAATCGAGCATTTCTGCAAAGCAGACAAAATCAGATAGTCCTAGCTTTGGAGCTATAATCCAAAAATACTTCAAAGATCCATAAAAGCTTGTATACAGCTTTGTTCCCCTTCCAAATACAGCCTCCCAACCAAAATTGGGTTTTTTAGAACTCCTGTCAAAAGATCACTCAGTATTGACAAAATTGGCATGTTGAGGAAAAAAGTCTAAATCTATTTTGCATTCCAATTTTAGGGTGCCTAAATAATCTTAAAAAGCCATATTCAGCATTGTTAGAAGCATAACAATTCTCCAACTTGTGTTTCAGTAGCAGTTCTCTCATTAAGATGTGGTCTTGTTTAGTCAGTCTTGGTCTGAACAAACTACATTACATAAAGTCTGTGGAATGGGATTATTGGCCGATTCCAATTAGTATTGCAAGTGTCTAAAAACTAGGATTGCAACGATTATTTAAATGTTCAAGTCCGAATGCTATCTGCTGAATTCTCCCATTAATAAAAATTAGCAAACACAATCCAAGCCATAGGTAAGGAACACCATAGAAGCAGCTAGAAGCCATCACTGTAGGAGGAGGAATAAAACAAAATACTAGCTGGTATGGGGATAACAATAAGAAGACATGGCGTGCAAGACTTGAAAACAAACTTTGTCCACGCTTTGGTATTTCACAAATTCCCAGAGAAAGAAGCAAGAAATATCCATATATAATCAAGCAAAAGACTTTTCCTAAATCTAACACTGTTGGTAATAAGATATGCAGGAAAAAGGAATCTTATGTGCGTAAACCAATAAATTGCTTGTGTGCCATCTCTTAAGAGAATGCCCTGCAACTACAAAACTCTTCAGCTGATTGGGATTTTTTTTCCTGTATACTTCAGGTCACTGTTTCTTATACTCTTGTGTGTACATAAGTGATCCCCATTTAAAGACCACTCACTCAGTGACCATTCAAGCTTAAGATGGCATTGAACATGTAGTGATGACTGGACCTCATACAGGTAGTCCTTGAGTGTTGTTGACTTACAACAGTTCATTTAGTGACCAGTTACAACAGCACTGGGGAAAAGTGACATGACCGTTTTTCACACTTACAACTATTGCAGCATCCCCATGATCATGTGATCAAAATTTGAATGCTTGGCAACAGATTCACATTTATGACAGTTGCAGTGTCCAGGGTAAGTGACCTGGACCTTTTGTGACTTTCTTATAAGTAAAGTGAATGGGGAAGCCAAATTCACTTAACCATGTTACCAACATGTCAGTTGTTCTAGAATTTTTGACAACAGAATTGTCAAAAAAGACAATCCTTGTTGATGCTGATGAGACTTGAATATAATCCAAAGATGGTCTAAATTGGGGTAAACTTCACTAGAAAATTGTCTTTAATGCCCCAAAAGTCCTCCTAAGAAAGACTGTTAGTGAGGAATATATCAGGTTACATTGGAGGTGCATAGGGATGATTATTAGCTTGATGCTCCAGATAAGGTTAAATAGATAACATGTTGCATTAATTGAGCTCCTAGTCTGAGCAGCAGGATTCTACAAAGCTCTTGAGAGATAGAACATGTTCCTGTGGTTCATATGTATTAAAATAAACATGTGACACAAGTAAAACAGAATGGCTTTTCACCCAAGTATTATATTACAATATATTCTGTGTTAAGAAAGCTATTGCTTTACAGGTGCTTTAGAGACATTCTAAGAGCTCTTACCAGCACTTCATCTGAGTCATGCCAGAAGCGCCACAAAATCCAGAACCACATAAGACCAGGGGTTGCTTCACCAAGGACTACTGAGAACAGTGGTGGTGGTACAAATTGGCGGTAATGAGTATCAACGTGTACACCTTCACTTGCCCTACAAGACAAATATAAAGTCATTTCTTTGTGCAAACCAAGATGTTTCTTCTACTTTGTGGCTGCCCTGGATGCATAACGAGGTCTAAATGCATATTTCCCTCCATAACTTTGGCAGAGAAACAATCACCATATATCTGACATCCAAAACATTTATGCCTTTTAATATTCATTAACTGATGTATTTGTGTGTGTGTATGTGTGCCTTCAAATCCAACTTTGATTCCTGCCAACTGCCTGGACTAGTTGCTGAAGGGTTTTTTGACAAGGTTTTTCAGGAATGCCTTGCCATTGTCAACTCTAAAACATGAAGACTAAAACTTATGAAGAAGGGTTGCAGGATTTGGGTTTGGCTAGTCTAAAGAAGATAAAAACTAGGGGTGACATGATAGCAGTATTTCAATATTTGAGGGGCTGTCACAAAGAAGAGATTAAAAATTATTCTCCAAAGCATCAGAGTGCAGGACAACAAAGAAAGGTTGGAAACTAATCAAGGAGAGAAGCAACCTGGAATTAAGGAGAAACTTCCTAGTAGTGAAAAAAATTAATCAATAGAATGTCTTGCCTTCAGAAATCAGGGTGCTTCATCACTGGAGGTTAAGAGACTGGACAATCACTTGTCTGAAATGGTATAAGGTCTCCTGCTTGAGCAAGGGACTGGACGAGAAGACCTCAAAGGTCCCTTCCAGCTCTATTCTATTTATTATTTATTGAATGTATATTGCCGCCTATTCGCTTATGGCGACTCAAGGTGGCTTACAGAACATAAAACCACATTTAAAACAATAAAACTAACAAAAAGAATCAAATAAATTAAATTAATATAGTACTATTCCTATTCCTAAGCCCCCTAAGTGACTGGCATGGTCAACCAACTGGCTTTGTGTCTAAAGGCAGGACTAAAACTTCTGGTCTCCCAGTTTCTAGCCTGTTGCTTTAACCATGCACAAAACTGGTGTTCTCCTCTTTTAATACAAAAAGTTTTTTCAAGGGGAGTAAACTAGGTCCCCTGCTTTCCAAGTTTACCATCTACAATACATTTCTGGAATCCCTACTCTGGCTTTTTCCTTCCCCACCAGAAATGTTAAAAATTAATCCCTTCAAATGCTTACAAGAAACAAAAGAAGAATCCATGAAGCAGAACACTGATCTCTACTGTCATTGTGTTTTTCTTTTTTCAACAATAACCCTAGGCCTAGTTTATATGTATTTCTTTGAATGTATTTCAAAGAATTTATTTATTTGAAATTATTAACACTCATCTCCCCTTTTCAACAAAACTGGGCCCACAGGTATTTAGAGTTGCTTCCATGAAACGGGCAGGGTAGAAGTTTAATAAATAAATGTATTTGAATGTATTAGCTGCCCAATTACAACAGGGCAGCATCTCGTTAGCATTCTTAGCAATTAAAAAAAAGTAGCAAGATGTTTTGAAAGTGGGAAACAAGATTTAAAAGATGGGGGTGGAGAATGGGAATGATAGCAACGTCACTGGTATTTTGATCCTGGGGGAAACCTCGAGTACTTTTCTCAAAATTATAGGGATGGTCATGTTATTCTATTATGAAGACCAAAAAAAAATCAGGTAAGAGTCCAGTAGCAGCTTGCCCAGCGAGCTCTTTTTACTAAAACGTATTGAGGGTTTTTTTAATAAAAAGTTTTAAAGATGCCTTTTAATATTCCTTAATGAAAGCCACATTTTATGCCATTTTTTATATGCCTTAGTAGTGAATTGCGAATCTGCCTTAAAAGCTCATGCAGGATTTGGGAAAGGGCAGCTCAGGCGCCCTGCATCGGATCCACCTCCGCGTTCAAGCCCCCGAGCAACTCACGCCCGGGCCCCAGCCTTTCCCCTTTTCTCCCCTTGGCCCAACCCCAAACTGCCCCACTCACCGCCGCACTCCAGGGCGCGGGCTTAGCTTGCCTCCGGGGCGAACCAGTCGACTCAGCAAGCTCAGGCCTCCCGTCGCTCGGCACAGAGGCCCGGCCATCCCGGAGGCCGCCGACACCTCCTATTGCCGCCAAGGTTACTTTACGGTGGCCAGGTTGCCGGAAGCTCCCGGTAACCCTCGCTCTGATTGGCTGGAAGGACTGCCCGTCTTTAGCGCGCGCTCCACTGGGAGTCCCGGAACAGAGAAGGGAAGGTTTCCTTCTGATGGAATTGGGCGCGGGTTCTTTTCGAGCCTGGCCCAGGAAAAAGAGGTTATCCCCACCCCTCCCCTCCCCCAGTCCCGCTGGAGGGAGCAGGGGAACTAAGTGATAGAAAGTAAAGCAAAGTTTCTTCCAAGTTGGCTTTGGATCCCTGGAACTGCATGGATACAAAACTCCATTGAAGCTCAAGTCGTTTTACTGAATAAATTTTTAAAAGCCACCTCCGATCATTTTTTTAAAAATAAAATTTAAAGCGCGCCGAAAGAGGTCTCCTCCACGAAAACCAAATTGCCAACCAACAACATAACTACCAACCCGAGCTACTAATATTCGAAGGCATTTCAATACGATTTCATTCTAGCCCTAGAACTTCCTCCCATCCCACCATTAACCCGGTCCTATATTCGGCTTTGCTTTTCTGGGGATCCGTCGAGAGGCTGGTTCTGCAGCGGGGCGGGACGTGTTGCAAAACGTGCAGCGGGTTGTCCTCCCCACCAGAGGCGCTAGAAATGGTTTAGTAGTCCGCGGTGCCAGACGGTTGCTAGGCAGCGAGGTTGTGATTTGGATTCCGGTGAGTTGGGAGAGAGACAGGCAAAGCAAAGGGGTGACCGAGAACAGCAGCCTACAAGAAGGTGAGAAGCATTAAATGTGCCATGTGCAAATATGATGGGTGAACAGTAGGCACAGTAGAACAAGATACCGGTTTGTTTCTTAGAAATAAAAAGATACAGATATAGGTATATAATCGTTATGGATAGGGAAACTTTCCAGTAGCTTCTTTTAAGTGATAGTATCATTTGCTATTGTATTGTATTGTATTGTATTGTATTGTATTGTATTGTATTGTATTGTACTGCACTGCACTGCACTGCACTGCATTGCATTGCATTGCATTGCATTTTACTTAGTCAATCAGTCAGTCAGTCGGTTATTCTGGAGGATGAAACATGGTGAACAGTTGCAGGAACCGGGGATGGCTAGTCTAAGAGAAAGACTAGGAGTGACTTGAGAGCAGAGTCTTTCAAGATCTGAGGAGCTGTCACAGGCAGAAGGGGGTGGACCTATTCTCCAAAACACCTGAGTGCAAGACAAGAAGTAACAGATGGAAAATTATCTAGGAGAGAACCTAGAACTAACGAGAAATATTTTGACTGTGAGAACAATGAATCAATGGGTGCTCTGTCACTGGAGGTTTTGAAGAAAAGAGGGACATCCATTTGTCCAGAATGGTTTGGGGTCTCCTGCTTGAGCAGGGAGGTGGAGTAGACTTCCAAAGTCCCTTCCAATTCTGTTACACTGTCTTAGTTAGTTAGTGTCATGCCCCTGGTGGAGACTGACTCTGAGGAAAAGGAGGAACAGCCGATAGGGAGTGGAAGTGTGGCTCCGGAGGTTGTGGAGGAGGCTGGGGAAGGGCAGAGGCTGGCTGAGCAGTCAGAGGAGGACCCAGGCCCATCCCCTATCCATCCTAGGGCACGCAGGGAGGAGAGGAGAAGGGAGAGATGTGGTCTACTCAGGCGGAGAGGGCCTTGATCCTCTTCATGGGCTACAGCTGTGACAACTGCGAACAGGCCAATGCTGGAAACAAAGCGTAGAAATATCTCTAGTTTATGTTTCCTCTCTGAGTTTAGCGTCCTTCCCAGTGTGTGTCCTGATATCTGTGGACGTCTTCCAGCCCTTAGCTTGCCTGGTTTGTGTTGTCTTTTACTCTTTATAATTTAAACTGCATTTCCTCCTTCTTGTAACTGCTTGTGTGGGAGTTTGTCTTCAATCAAGGATATTTGGAGCTTGGAAGCAAAGTGATAGAATTAAAGGGGATTTACCTGTTTTTTGTGACTGTGTTTATTTTGTAGCCCATCCTGGGTCATCACAGTTAGTATGTTTGTATATTCTGAAATGATTTTTGGTGGATTTTAAAAAATTAATCTCTATTTTATCTTTAAATGGAAGTTACTTTGTATAATCTACTTATAGGCCCTCATTTCCCTGTGGAAGAAATGGTCAAGGATTATGGTGTTGGTAGCACCCAGGACCAGTGAAGATTATTTCACAGTGATTCTAAAAGCATCCAGGCAGGTGCTTTTAGAAGCTTTAAAACAAGACACAATAATGAAAGATGCCTCTTTGCTATTGACACACAGCAGTCCTGTCCCTGATTCTAAGGCTCCACTTACTTGATTGATGGTTATTGACTGATGAATGGAGCAGTCCTAACAGAGAGAATCAAGTGACAGATCCAAAAACAGCCCATGAGCTTCTGCTACTCAGGATAAGAATTTCCAAACACAAGGAAATTAATTATAATAGTTTCAGAGAATGTGTAGAGGTGCACAGACCTGGTCTCCCTCCCAGCAGATTCAAGGCTGACTTCATCCATGGTTCAGCATGGATGAAGAAGCTTAATTTCTATGCTGCATGAATACACCAGACTTAAACCAATATAATCCTGTTTTTGCTCCCCGACTTGAAAATATATCAGTACATAAAATCTTACTGTCTTGTGGCAATAAATTTCAAGTTTATTTTATCATTCCATGTTTCCATAATTTACATAGATGAATTCAAAAGAGACAATTTTTATCACTATTGGTATTACAAGTTACCTTACTTTATGGGTATTCGAAATGATTTACAGGAATTCTCTTTTTTGGAAGAAGAAGAAAAATGCATGTCAATGCTATTTAAATTTATAGTGAAACTATTAGGGGAAATAGGGAGAATTTGCAATAATATAAATACGCAGGAAATTTAGGATAATTAAGAGTAATGGATTAGATTTAATCTTAAGTTGAGCAGAGAGAAATGAGTAGAATCTAAGTTACATTTATAATAAATTCTATGAATTTCAGCAGAACTTGAGTAAGCCTGGATTCATCCCATTCTTGGAAGCAAAAACATTGTGCAAATATTTGAAAAATTATTCAAGTGTTTACATATTTATAAATTTGTCATTAACTTTTATTTTCTGTAATTAATGTTTGTGATGTAGGATGCCTCATCTCTGTCACGCTACTGTACCATTATTGGCTGGCATTCATGAACATAATGTGGTTTTTGTCATATATACTTCAGAATGCAATCCTTGCAATCCATGTATCATGAAAGAACTTCTTACAAGAACTCTATATTCACTGGGTAGCAGACTAATGGATTCCATGTTCAATATCATCTGGTGTTCCAGCAAGGTAATGTAAAAGTTATGAAGTGGAACAAAATAGCTCTTTCATTCTAGAGCAGGGGTCCCCAACCCCTAGGCTACAGATCACTACTGGGCCTTGAGTCATTCACAACCGGGCCGCAGAACAGGCACGCACATCCCCACTTGCTCAAGAAGTTTGGGGAATGCATGTGTGTGGCTGTTACCGCTCGTGCATAACTATCCCCTCTCTTCTTCCTTCCCTGCTGGTCCACAAGGATGGAAAGGATGAGGAACTTTGCTCTAATGCTATTTTTCAACGTATTTAAGAAGAACAGATTGAGAAGGTGGGCTGAAAATCTCAACCCCTCCTAAGTATGCCAATGTGCTACAAATTCATTGGCAACATCCATTTTCCTCTCCCGGTTCATGGAGACCTAATTCTAACCCTAAGTGGGTTTACCCTCCAATGGGATTTTGCCATGTATATAACATGAACTGGTAGAAAAAGTGTGCTGAAAAACTGAGCGCCCTCCTAAGCATACGGATGTGCTGTGAATTCATTTGCTACATAACTGTTACTCTAAGTGGGTTTATACTGCAATAGTAATAGCATTTAGACTTATATACCACTTCACAGTGCTTTACAGCCATTTACTGAGTCAGCATATTGTCCCCAACAATCTTGGTCCTCATTTTACAGATCTCAGAAGGATGGAAGGCTGAGTCAAACTTGATCCTAGTGAGATTCGAACTGCCAAATTGCAGGCAGCTGGCAGTCAGCAGAAGTAGCCTGCAGTACTGCATTCTAACTACTGCGCCACTGAGGCTCTGGTTAGGGTGGGGAGTTGGGGGACTCGCTTAAAAATATGTTCAAAATATAACAACATTTTATTCAAGGGTGTAATGTTTGAAAGATGCAACTTTGCAATAGCATTTCTGTTTTGATCCATTGAAGAGGCAACTAATTTCTTCTCCAGGTATTAAAGTGGCAGAATGAATTGGTAGAATGTTCCCTCACCAACATCATGGATGCAGCTTCTTGGATCAGAACTCTGCAGATGAATAGCAAGGGAAAAGCCAGTGCCTGGAATGCCATTGAAGAAGCAATAGAAAATCCCAGCTGCCAAGCAATATATCTGTTCACCAGTGGATTGGCTGAAGGCTCTGTGGAAGAAATCTGTAGCCACCTTAAAGACACAAAACAATTGTGTCCAGTGCATATTGTGCAATTGATAGAAAATAGAGACAGCAATAAAATTAGCGGTCAAAAGCTATTGGAGAAAGTAGCCAAGATGTCTGGTGGTACTCTCCAAGCAATTGATGGAGCTTCCTGTGAGGTAAAAAGATAAGTGTGGTCGTGCTGAATCAGATCACTTGATTTGGGGGAACTGTGATAACTATTGTGACTCTTTGATTAGGGAAAGAAAAGTAGTCTGACTTGTTAAACTACATTCATTTGATAACATTAAAATTTAATCTGTTGAGTTAGTTCTACAAAGGTTCGTTTTTTTTTTCTTTCCTTGACTTATTTTGATGCTTTTCTGAACAAAAATAAAGAACAAAAATAATCACTAAAATAGAAAATAAAATCATAATTAATGAAAAAAGGTAAAAGCTATAAAATTCATATTTAATTTAAAAAACAAATATAAAGATACTGTGTGTATATTAAAAGATGGGAGGGAAAGAGGAGGAAAAAAATAGTAATACCATAGGAAGCTCTGGTTGAAGGAGTAATCCTATGAATCGTGATAGAAAATCCTTCATAAGCATCAGGGAGTCAAAGGAAAGCATTCAGACATATTGCAGAGAAGAATTGTCTTGCCATTCATAATATGACCCTTTGATATTCTTAGTCACGAAGGAATGAACACATGAAATCAAATAGTTGGAAAGGACTCAAATACTGTGTAGTTTTACCAATCTCAGTTCCCAGAAGAATGCAAAATTATTGCTCTCTAATGTCTTCCATCCTTTTAGGATAAGACTGGCTGTAATTTAGGTTTTCATCATCCTGGTAGTGTCGGCAATCATCTCGGCTTCCCTCCGCTGACGGATCATTGCACAAAACTGTAAGTTTGGGCACCAATGGATTTTAATGTTATTATTAATTATTTTATCATTGTTAGAATGGAGCCAATAGGGTTGATACTTATTAGTAATCCATTTATATCAGTAATCCCAATTCTCTGGTGAGTGATCTTGCACTTCCTAATGCCTGTTGCTTTCCTCTGTGACAGGTTTCCTTTGGGTGCGTGGGCTCCAGATACTTGTAACACACGTCTAAGAAGTTCCGTACAAGAGAATTTAGGGGACGGTACCACAAACAGCCATCATTTGCTGAGGGGGACACGAGTTCTTGCCAGAAAACAGACAGATGGCTATTACTATCTCAGTCATATTGTCCAAAAGGTGAAGGTAAACTGGTTTGCCTGAATTAATATTTTTCACTTAATCATCTCAATACATAATTGGTTTTCTGTTGAGGACCTATAGATGCTGCTCCATTGACTTCTTCCACTTTTTCCAGACATGATTAATTATTTGTCTTGTGTCTTATATAAGAGTACCATTTTATAGGTGACTCTTTGAACCAGGGTGGTATGATTTTAAAAGGTGCTGGATTAGCCATTATTTTACAACACAACTTTCTTCATAGGCCTGACACTATAGAAATCAAATTGGAAATGGGAGCTCTTGGGATAGCAACCTAATGAATAAAACACAGTGCATATCATAAAAGCTTTGGGGGACTGTATTTGTATTAAAGGCCAGGCTAGACAAAGCTTTTGCTACTACTGAGGAAGGTAAAATAGGAAAGTTGCACATTTTCTCTTCCTCGAACTGCCATGAGCCATTCAAGAGAAATAATCTTTCTAGAAAAAGTCTACAGAGATTCTCAGTCATCTAGGCCATGATTGTCCCAAAGGTGCTTTTTTCAGGAGACAACTGGAGTTTCTTGTTTTTTTCTTTGAAGACATTTCGCTTCTCATCCAGGAAGCTTCTTCAGCTTTGACAGGATAGTGCAGAATGGAAGGATGTATACTCCTTGCAGACAGCTTGTCATTTGCATCCTTTTAGAGGGTCATTGAAGCACTTGGAGGTTTATCTGTGTCCTCAGGGTCACCTGAGTAGACAGGACACAGATAAACCCCCAAGTGCTTCAACAACAATGAAAAAACTACAGGATAAAGTTATTTGCTAAGGCTCAGGTGAAATGTCACCTACTCTGTTTACATTTCTTCAGTTTGATGGTTGGGCTGTGCAAACCGCTTTAAGAATAATATACTATAAAGACATAAACTTAGTGTGTGTTTTGCTTTGAAACTGAAATATCATAAATATCTCTGTTTATATATTGGGGACTTGTGCTTCAAAATGAAGATGGTCAGTATAATGCTATACAGGCTTAAGGGGCACGATGGCTCAATGGTTAGAGATGCTGGAAAGCTGAAAGCCCAGGTTTGAGACCTGAGTGCCGCATGACAGGGTGAGCTCCCATTACTTGCCCCAGCGCCTCCCCACTTAGCAGTTCGAAAGCATGAAAATGTAAGTAGATGAATAGGTACCACTTCAGCGGAAAGGTAGCAATGTTCTGTGTGCCTCAGCATGTAGTCATGCTGGCCACATGACCATGGAAGCGTCTTTGGACAATGTTCACTCCCTTGGCTAAAAAAAGAAGGTGAGCATTGCCCCCCTAGAGTTGGACATGACTGGACAGGGGAAAGATTTACCTTTATACAGGTCTACAGGGTGCTATTTCTGGCTTCATTTCACAGAATTCCAATGAACATGTCCTAGTTGAGTTTGAAAGATGCCAGCGATCACGAAAAGGTAAGGGTCCATTTCGAAGACAAGAAACACCTCTCTATGACATCATCCATTATGATGATGCCAGGTGGCAGCCATTATCTGCAGGAGATGGGACCCTTGCTCCATGGGACAAGAACAGCAAACGATATGGCCCAGGCATCGTTCTCCAAGTAGCAGAAAGTTCAGATTATTCAGGTATGGCAAAATTTTGCCTTCTTTCCATTAAATATCCATTGCACTTTTTTTAACAATCCATGACTACCCTTGCCTCCTTTCCAAAAGGGGAGGGCTATGCTTGAAAAAAGAAATTAGAGGAAGGTGGGGAAATGGGACTGCAACTGCTACTTTCTTTCCTGTTACTTTTCCTCGCAGGCATCCAAAATGTATTCAGTTTACAAGAGCATTCAGAAAAGGACAGCGGTTACCTGGAATAAGTTTTATCAATGGTTACAAAAGAGAGGGGAAGGTCGGAACAAAAAATAGTTAGGATGAAACGGACCTAGACTGTGAATACTGTACCAATAATATGAATGTTCATGGTTTAGCAATATCTTTGTATGTATGGCCGAGAAATGCCAGAATGGTTGCACTTGTTTGATATTTATAGGTGTAAACAATAAAAATATATTTTAAAAAAGAAAGAAAAGGACAGTGGTGTTTCTTTGCAAATGTTATATAGATTTTAAAATAGCCAACTGTAGAATAGCTGACTTTTCTTGTTGTTGTTGTTATTATTATTATTATATAATTTAATTATAAAGAAAATATATCCTTGGGTAGGAAATACCAATGATAAAATAATTACACTCTAAAATAGTGGTAGATAGTCACCAGGGCAAAACTACTCAGCCTGTTTCTTGCTGAGGAAAAGGGGTTGGCAAGTCAATGATTGAAACAGTTAACTTAAAACTTGTGAAAACTTAAACAATTCATTCTGAACCCCCCACTTCCCCCCAAATTGCCCATTGATTCTGGTGACACAATATTGGGTAGGGGAAAAAAATGTTACAGTACAAGACAGCTGTCTCTCCCTTGTTGACTATCCCTGGAAAGCTGCCAGCTGAGAGATGAATACACAGAGGAGTAATATCTACTGATAGGAGCGGCTGGAGCCCACCTCTAACTTAGTAACGAGACAGATGGTGTTTTCTTCTAAAATATGGCTCCGTGTTTCCCTTTACAGCTTTCCAACATAGCGAAGTGCTGATTAACTTCTGGAATGGCCGGACCAAGACAATATCAGCAGATGTCGCTGTGAGGATCTCTCTTCCGTTATATGAGCGCATTGTTCTTGAGCTTCAGATGCCATTGAGAGCCAGGCAGATGTTGGTGGAGCAGAATCCAGATTATCCTTCTGTTGTGCCACCTGGATACCGGGCTTCTGGAGCTTGCAGGCATAAGCATTTAACTTGGATGCCTTGGCCTCAGACTCAAAAAACCCATTGTAATGGAGTCTGCGGGAGCAATACCCGTTTCCCTCCTTGGTCTTTCTGCTGCCCACTACAGAATCATAATACATCTTCAATAAGTTCAACACGGGCAGAGGATACTTGGATAGCAAAAGTCAGCTCATCAAAAGAGGAGCCGAGCAAGAAGTTAGAAGACCAACTTTCAATAGGCAGACCTCCCACTTTGGAAAACGATAAGGATGCAAAAGGAGATTGCAGCAAGCTAAAGAAGGAAACAAATTTAGCAGGTGCCAAATCTTGGGAAGAGAATGAAACCAAAGTTGCAGAACCCAGTGAGGTACAAGATTATGTTGGTTAGCTTATAGCTCGCTTCTCCGGCAAGAAGTCTCCCCACTTCCCCATTCCCCAAAGCAATTATAAGCTAATTGCCAGATATTGTTAAAAAAATTCCTAAGCTGAACATCCTAGGATAGTTAAGTATTTCCATCCTTATCAACTTTGCTGTATTCAATGGGGCTTTTTAATTTTTGATAGGATGAGAAAGTGATGGATTCAGAAGATACGACAAACAATACTGGAACCATGGTTGATATAACGACCAATGCAGGCAAATGGATGACTCAACAAAACCAGAAATGTGTGCAACTATATTGAAAAAGATGTGGGGAGTTTTGGTGACTTATTGATAGATATTGAAACTAACGTATCAGCATATTTTACTCTAATCTTTTGGACTCGTTCAGCTTTTTTCTGCCAATATAAAGAGAAGGTCAGGAGATCTGTTGATGTCACTAATCAACAGAAGGGCTTCTATTGCCCTCTCTCAGGGGAACAATATTTCTGTGTATCTAGTATCGAGGCTCCAGGGATGCTAGCCTGAGCATCCCTTTGTCTTTGGATTTGTACACATATAATGTTGCCATGGCTACATCACATATTGATGCAGATGTTTAGTTTAGTTTCATTGCACCTCTTACAACGAAATCAAGCACCATCTTCAGTGCATATCATGACCATGAAAATAAACACAAATACACATCCTTCATACTGCACACATTGAATTGAAAACCCCCGACACCGCACCAACACTGCACTATACAGTAGAATACAACAAAGCTACTGCCCTGGGATAGAAGCTGTTTTGCAGCCTATTTGTCCTTGTTTTTTATTATTCTGTACCGTCTGCCAGATGGTAATAGTTCAAAAAAAGGGTGCCGAGGATGAGATGGATCTTTGAGAATGTTTTGAACTTTCTTAAGGCAGCGGGAGCTATAAAGCTCTTCCAAAAAGGGGAGAGGGCAACCAATGATCTTCTGGGCAATGACATTAACCCTCTGGAGTGCTGTCCTATGTGATACTTTTTGTACTCATTTTCTTTTCTGATGAATTATAAGATATGATTATCCCTGAGAAAAAGGTTATTGCTGAATCAGTCCTTAACCTCAATGTTTTTTAAAAGACATCAAGGGAAGGATGTTTCATTAAAAACACAACACATTCAAGAATAACCAGTACTGTAGAAGCACTCTCATTTTTTTTTAAAAAAAGGGGAAACTACACTAAAGGGATTACTGTAAGCAAGAGTGGGAGACACACAACCTTCAATTATCAACTAAATCCTGAGACAGCAAAACCAAAGGGGAGGAATACTGGTGGTTGTTACCAGAGTAATATCTGAGGAGCCAGTTTTTTCATCTCTTCAGAGACATCAACCACATAAAAGGAGCGTACCTTAGACCAAGTAGACATCTATAGCTCCATGATGTTTCCCCTTTTCAGATCAATGTCTTCATATTATCTACACTGTTATTGTTATTTACCTGTGCAATGAATATAATTATTTTCTATGTCAGTTTTTTTACAACCCAACTTGAGTGGATCTTCAACCCAGCTTTCCCAAAGAAATGCTTCTCAGAAAACTTACTTGGCCAACAATTCCAAACTCCAAGCAAAGCTTGACTGGGTGGACAAGTCACTGAAGAAAGATCGTGTAGCTATTGAATCTGTTTTGCACATGAGAAGGAGCTACAGTGCACCACCATCTGGACAGGTGAGAACACTCTTCCTTTCATCTATATATTGCAGGGAAGGGCAACTTTTGAAGACCACAATTGTGTACAGTTCATTTATGAAATACTAGGCCTAAACTGTCTGAGGCAGTGGCCCCCAACCTTTTTTGTGCCACGGCCCGGTACCGCCATCAAAAATGATCCGTGGCCCGGTACCGGCATCAGCACGCATGACAAGGCAAGGCGAGCCGAGCGACCGGCCAGCCATCCATCCCCCGCTTCTCCCCGCCACCTTCAACTCCTCCTTTGTACCTTTGTTGATGGGCTTCGCTTCGGGACGGCTTCGGGACGGTCGCTTGGCTTGCCTTGCCTCGGGTGCTGAAAGAATCCTCGCGCCTTAGTTTCGTTCGAAGCCCCCCCATTCAATGAAACTAAGGCACGAGGATTCCTTCAGGACCCAAACGCCGCTTTCCAACCAGAAAAGCTCACCCGGAAGCACTTTCTTGTCAAACAAGATGGCAGTGCCCAGCAAACCGGAGACCCGGAAGGAAATGTTCCACGGACCGGTACTAGTCTGCGGCCCAGTGGTTGGGGACCCCTGGTCTGAGGGACACCTTAGCTTTGCTTTGAGATGAAGACTAAGACTTGGAAAAACTTACCCTGCTATAAAAGGTTCTTTTTTTCAGAAATTACTGGAGAAGGAAGCCCCTTGGGATAGTCCCAGAGAAGTGAATGCCAACCCAGTTAAGATAGGCTTCAAACGGCAGAAGTGGGAGCAGAGACAGCTTAGGAAAGAGCAACAACAGGAAATCCTTCTCAAAAGAGAGATGCAGCTTGAAAATAAGAGGTAATGGAGCGATGTAGCTCCCAGATTGGGTAGAAGACAATAAACTGAAGCTACATAAATCTGGTGTGTCAAACTCACAGCATCGTGGTGGTGTCACGTGACATATCGGGACTTTTTCCCTTTGCTAAACTGGGTGTAAGTGTGGCCGGCGCATGACACATCTGGCCCGCAGGCCGGGAGTTTGACAGCCCTGACATAGATGTTCTGTGTCTTTTGTTTTCAGTTCTTGTGACTTATGGGAGATAATATTCTTTACAAATAGTATGTTCTTGCTTCAGCCATAGAATGGGAGATTAAGTTCTACCTAAGTCAAAAACTTGAGATCTCTTAGTCCTCACTGTAAAAATTGAAACAGTATTCATCACACATCATTCATTTGTTGGTAAAAATATATGAAAATGGAGAATTGTTAAAAGAATAGTAATCCGTTGTTTCAACTGCTGTCCATGAATAAGGTTACTATGGTTCCAATGGTGTTAGATTTGATCTGTTCCTATTTAGTATTTTCCTATGTATGCATGCTTTCCTGGTGGGATTGCATGAATCTAGATCATGTGAAAAATTAAACATAATTATGTTCTCTGAAATGATCTCATGTGAGCCTAACACTACAAAGACTTGAAAACTTAAAATGGGAATTCAGGAGTAAAGTTTCGTAGCTCAGTGTTTTATTTAGCATGCTAGGATGTGTTTATAAACAGGATCTATTTTTTTTTTTTAAAAAGCTAGCTCATTTCTTAAACAGGCAGCAATCTCTCCAGAGGACATTGCAAAGCTCACAAAGGCTTCAGGAACAGAGTGACAGAGCTGAGCGGCATCTGGAGCAGCTCCGAGGGGCAAAGACAGAGAGAAGAAGGCAGGAATCCCATTTTCAGGAAGAAGAAGGAAAGAAAGAAAACCAAAGGAGAGAATTCTTAAAGGCACAGCACAAGCAGAGAGAGAAGCAGCTGGCAAAACATAATCGAATAATCGAATGGTGAGAGCACAAGTCTGTTTTGTCTTTTCCAAAATTCTGAAAATTTTCTTGGGGGGAGGGGGGGATAAATTAGGGATCAGGCATTATCAGGAACAGTTGCTACCTTCGCCAAAGAAAATGTAACTCTCTACTCAGATAAATATTATGAGGTAAATATATGGAGAATCAGATTCATTCGTATAGATCAATCTGAGTGCATTTGAGGGCTCAGAAGTTGAAAGTGGGGTGGATTAGAAATGTTGGAAAGAAATTAAATGATATGAATATTTAAAGAAGTAAGTGGCTTTCTTAATTTTTAATCAGAAATTCTGCTCAGAACCCCATGCTTGGAAATGTTGAGGGTTAATTATTCAGAACTAAGCAAATTTTGTTTGTGTGTGTCTTTGTGTGTACCCACAGATGCACATATATACAACTACAAATATGTATATAAATATCTGTACTCTAATTCTCATGCAAAATGGTGCATCATAGGGCAACAATTTTTGAACAGAACTGCCTAAATTAACCAATAGACTCATTTAAAGAATGCATCCCAAATCCAGGACCCACGACTCCCAAGGGATTGAAATCTGAGGCAGTTGTGGCTATTTCAATGCTACAAGCTGCTGCTGGAGTCACGTGATCTTCATTTTCAAAGTTCTGTGAGTTTCCCAGCCAATCTGATAATCCCTGCTGAGGATAAATGACTTCCCTGTTGGGTAGGAAAGAGAAAGGAAAGGAGAAGGAAGGGAGGAACAGCGCGGTAAGCATAACCAAATTCCTGCTTAATTACTATTCCAAAGCATACCTTATTACTGAAATTTGCTACTCTGTTATGTTCTAGCAGCATTTGAATTATTTGGAACGTTGAAGCAGCTTAGCCGATTTGGGATGAGTTGTCTTCTTCACCAGTTAAGCTTCCATGCTATGTTTTTTTTCATTTATTTTTCTTTCAGTAATTTTTAAAAGATTTTTATCCTGCCCTTTTTATATACAAAGCAATGTGGCAATCATACCAATATTCCTTCCTCTGTAGGGATTATGTGAGATTAGTTGGACTGAGAGAGAGAGGCTGGCCGAAGTCACTCAATCAGCTTTCATGCCTAAAAGAGGACTAGAATTCAGTCTCTTTTTTCTAGCACCTTAACCATACCTCTCATGAAATCACATTATTTTGTTAACAAGTTTGATGCAATAAAATGTTTTTTGAAAAGATGTGATAGAAGAGCTGCAAGTATGTAGAATCATGTATCCTTACAATTTATATTGACTGTTTCCTAGTATGATTTGATTGCTTATTGTACCCTATGACTATCAAGTGTTGTACCTGATGATTCTTGACAAATGTATCTTTTCTTTTATGTATACTGAGAGTATCTGCACCAAGACAAATTCCTTGTGTGTCCAACCACACTTGGCCAATAAAGAATTCTATCTATCTATCTAAAATAATCTTTGTGTTCTTTTCTGTAGGCACTTCTCAGGAACAGAAAAGAAGTCAGACAAAAGAATGCAGAAATTGCCCTGAAGGAACAGATTGCAGA